TGCTTCAATTTCCTGCCCAGAGCCTCGTAGTCTCTTTTGATCTTCTGGAGGCTATTGCTTGCAGTGTCATTGGTTCCCACATGAACCAAGAGGAAGGGGTATTTGACAGTGGGTTTTATGATTCCTTGCAGTCGTTCAGTTACATCTTGGATCTTAGCCCCGGGGAGACAGCACACTTCCCGAGACATCTTGTCAGGCCCACAGATCACTGCTTCTGTTTCCCTCAGTAGGGAATCCCCTATCACCACTACACGCCTCCTCTTAGGTTTGGTCGGGGTTCTTCCGTGAGCTGCCCGTTCCAAGGTCGCCTGCACATTCCCTGAGGACTGACTTTGCTGCTCGTCTTCATATACCTGATCGACTATAATGAGGGAGAGATCCTCAAATGGAGTCTGCTCTTCGTCTTCCATGCTAGGGAAGAAGACCTCAAAGCGATTGTGTATTTCTAAACAATCAGAGCGAACCCTGGGCCTCCTACTTCTTTGAGTCACGTTTCTCCATATATCTGGCTCCTGTGTTGGTGAACTAGCCTCCTTCTCAGGGGAGTCCCCTGTCTCCTCCTTGGTGGAGACGGTGTGCTCTGTTGCTTCCAAGAAGAGCTCCAGCTCTCTAATTCTTTGGAGCGTAGCTACACGTTCCTCCAGTTGCTGGACTTTGTCTTTTAAGAGGGCAATCAACATGCAATTGCTGCAGGTAAAGCTGCCTGCAACCTTTGGCAAGATGGCAAACATTGCGCAGGAACCGCAGGCGACTGCAGCTGTTCCCTCCCCCTCCATCTTGAGAACATGTCGTTGGGGGTGGCTACAGCGGTCCTCCATCATAAAAAGCGTGAAGACAGGACAAATAACTCCCCCCCAAAAAAACCTAGGTCTCCCCCAACAAACGTTTGAGACTAGCTCCCCTAAATCTAAAAGATGGATCAAACTGCGCGCGCCGCTGGGCCTCAACAGAAACCCTGCCCCCTCTGACCTTTGCACAGGGAGAGCAGCTAATCAGCCACAAAGAAACACACACACACACACACACACACACACAAGAAAACCCTTTTTGCTCCTTCTTCAACTGCTGCCCTGCAAGCTCTTATTTATTTATTCTGAATGTTTGTAAGTGATACCAATAAAGATTTGATGATAATGACTTTAAACACTTGAACTCTTTAGCAGGTCTTAAATAACTCTTGTAATGTTACATAGATTTTGGATACAATGGAGGACCAATAATTAGATGGACTTACAGTATGCAGTCAAAAAAGTTACCCAAAGAACCCACAGAGGGGAGGAGGGAAGTGTGTGTGTGGGGGGGGGGCAACCGAGGCAAATGGGAACAGCACCTGCTAGCCCTGCACACAGAATCATAGAGTGGGGAGGGACCCCCAGGGTAATCTAGTCCAACCCCCTACAATGCAGGAATATCAAGTAAAGCATGTGACAGGTGACCATCTAACTTCTGCCTAGAAACTTCCAAGACTAAGGGAATGGAGTTGGAACCTAATCTAGTCCAACCTCCTGAAGTGCAGGGATCTTTTGGCAACCCCAACAGGGCGCAGGGAGGGTGGGGTGCGGAAAGCGTGCTTCGCTTGAGGGGGGGGGCTCTCCTCGGATGGGGAGCGCACCCTTCTCGCCCGCAGCCAGCAAGATACACGGGGCTCTGTGGGGGACAAGTGACGGGAGTGCAGAAAAAGGGGAGGGAGATTTTGCTTGCGTGTTGGGATGCAGTCCTTTTATTCCTTCAAACAGAATCGGAATTGCCGAGTTGACCCAAGGGTCATCTAGTCCAACCCCTAAAAGGAAGGAATCTCAACTAGATAATACACGGCACGTGACCGTCCAACCGCGGCTCAAATTCCTTCGAGGAACGAAAGGACGCCGCCACCTCTTGGGGCGATCTGTTCCACCGCCGAACGGCATAGCTGTCAACTTTCACATTTGAAAATAAGGGATTAGCAGCCTCCCCTGTCCGGGGACGGTCTACGGGATATCCGGGATAGCAGCGGGAAGCGGCGCTGGAATAAGGGAATTTCCCGCAAAAAAGGGAAAGTTGACAGCTGTGCCGAACGGCTTGCCTCTTGCCCCAGGAGGCGCTGCGAGGCCGCTGAGGACTAGCGCCTTAGCGGGCTCGCCTCACCTGTCCCCCCCGACCCCTCCCCGCCACGCACCCACTCTGGCACTTTGCAAGGGCGCCACATCGCGCCAAGCACCCGGCGCCTTCTCGGCCCTGGGAGAACCAGGAACCGGCCTTCTAGGAGCCGGTTGCAGGCCGGGCACGTTTCCAAACTGACTTCCTAACGCGCGGCATGACGGGAGATGTAGTTCTCCGCGGGTGTTGCAAAGGGAGGGCGAGGCTCCTGCAGCGGAGCCTTCCTGGTCCCTTTTCCTGAAAAAAATGCATTTTATAATGGAGAGTACCGTGGGCGTAGCCAGGATTTTTGTTAGGGGGCAGGACTTTGTGGAGGGGGAGACTTCGGTGGGGGGGGGGGCAGAACCGTCGTGATTGATCAGTTAGTACTTTATGGGGGGGGCAGCTACCCTCTGCCCCCCCCTTACGCCCATGTACAGCTCCATATATCAAACAGAGCAATGATGCTAGCGGGCGTAATTAAAAATGGAAAGCAAAACACTAAAATGAGCGTGAGCCCTGGGCTCCTTGCAAACCCATCCCATAGAATCCCGGGAACCATAGTTTGCACAGGAGGTGGGGCGCTGTTAGCAGCAGGCCCTGTTCCCCTCACATAGCTACAACTCTCAGAGGAAAGAGGAATCCACAGCTATACCTGCTCTGGGGAACTGTAGCTCAACTCTCAGAGCCCTGTGCATGCTACAATTCCCATGGTGCTTGGTTGCTGGGAAGCCATGGGTTTTTAAAAGGAACGGCACAATGCTTTTAGTGTATTGTACATTGCAATTATCTGACAATTCTTCAGTCTACCTGGCGGGAAATCTTAAAATGAGGGAAGTCCAGGTGGGGTAGGCAGAAGAGGGCAACAGAGGAGGGAGGGAGGTCTAGGGGCAAATGGAGCCAGGTAGGCCTGGCCCACCTATGAGACAAAGTGTGCCTCAGGTGGCAGAATCCACTGGGGCAGCAGATCCCAATGCAGATCTATCTACCCCCCCGCCACTTCCGCCCTTGCTTGTTTCTGATGTAGAACTTCCCCTTCTTCCTGACAGGGAAGGTGGATACCATTTGAGTGAAGCTGAAATCATAAACTTAAAATTGCTGTGGGTTGGGGATGTCTCAGATTTCCCTAGAAAGGGAGGAGTGGGAGAATGGTGTGTTCCTCTCTGAACCATATATCCCATTCAAGTGTGGAGAGAAGGCTTGACATCTGAAATCCAGTCATCAGACTTACCAAAACATAGAATTGTCAAGTTGGAAGGGAACCCAAGGATCATCTACTGTAATCCAGGAATCAGCTGGATCCAGGGAAGTAGTGCCGGGTGCCTTTTTGGCTTTGGCGCAAACTGCTGCCAGCTGAGACTGGCATTACCCCACTCCTTTGCCCACTGCCCTGGCTTTCAGTTGGTTTGTGGACCCCAATCAGAGCACTGGCCTTAACTGCTAAAGTTCCCATCACACTTTGAGATGCCTGTTTAGTGAAGGGGCGGACCCAGCAGAGGGTGTTGCTCACTGGCTGGTTCAGCTGGAGATCGTCCCCCTTGCCAGCCACACTGCGGTCTAAGTGGTGTAGTGTCTTCTTTGGCGACCTCTCGTAGCCGAGGAAGATGGTCTTCCATGAACACGGTTTAAACAATGAGTCCGTAAGTGACTGTGGAGGCCAATTCTGGATCCCCACGTCCTTCCACAGTGGGGACCTTTGTGTAGTGTAGCAGTGCCCCAAAGTGCTTACTGCGCCAGCCATGGGCTGTGGGCCTGCGTGGAGCATCTGGAACATCCAGATGAGGGGGAATCACAGACTCATAGAATTGTAGAGTTGGAAGGGACCTCAGGGGTCATCTAGTCCAACCCTCTGCAATGCAGGAATCTAACCAAAGCATCCATGACACATGGCCATGCAACCTCTGCTTAAAAACCTCCAAGGAAGTAGAGCCCACCACCTCTTGTGGGAGACTGTCCCACTGCCAAAACAGCCCTTACTGTCAGAAAGTTTTTCTGAATGCATAGTTGGAATCTCCTTTCTTTTAGCTGGAAGCCATGGGTTCGAGTTCTACCTTCCAGAGCAGGAGAAAACAAGCTCGCTCCAACTTCCATGGGACAGCGCTTAAGGTATTTGGAGATGGCTCTCATATCTCCTCTCAGTCTCCTCTTTTTCAGGATGAACATACCCAACTCTTTCAACCCTTCCACATAAGACTTGGTCTCTAGGCCCTTAATCACCTTTGCATACCCTCCAACATTTCTTCGATGAAAAAAGGGACGACCCATTCCATAATGGTAATTTTACTCTTTATACCCCACACATCTTACTGGTTGCCCCTGCCACTCTGGCAGAACAAAACAGTAAACATTAAAAAAAGACTTCCCTGTACAGGACTGCCTCCAGATGGCTTGGGGGTGGGATAACTCCATGCCTTCCAACATTTCTCCAATGAAAACAGAGACATCCTAAAGAAAAGTGGGACATTCCAGGATCAAATCAGAAACTGGGATGGCTTCTCTAAATCAGGGGCGTCTCTGGAAAATAGGGACACATGGAGGGTCTGCCTTGGTCGCTCTACCCTACCCATAATCCATTTTGTCAACATCCTTCTTAAATTGTGGTTCCTATAACAGGACAAAGGACTCCAGGTGGGGTCTGACCAAGGAAGAATGATTCAGAGGAGATGCTTTTGAACTACTTTTCGCCAACTCGGCTTTCGGCGAGACATCCCGACATCCCGTCCCATGCTTACTGAGCAGGCATGTTAAGGTGGTGCGCGGGAAGCCGCTCCAGCCATCGGAGGAGAGGCCGACCGCAAGGAGAGATAGGCTGCCTGCGCTGGAGCGCGCGCCACAGCGCGCAGGGCCTGCCCACCCTGAGCGCCCGCCCCCGCCCCCGCCCCGCCAGACACGTCGGCCGAGGACGCCCGGCTGCGTCCGCCTGGGCGCCTTACGGGATGGTGCCATGGCGCGGCCGTCGGGGGACGCGCAGCGCCAGGAGCCCGAACAACAGCCACTGCCGCTGGTCTCCTACCAGCACGTGCCCGTGCATCTGGCCGGCGGCGCGCCCTGGGGCTTCTCCCTCGAGGGCGGGCTGGAGCACGGCAAGCCCCTCATCGTCTCCAAGGTGAGCCCCTTCCGCGCTCCTCCTTCCCCGCTCTGGGGTCGCCGTCCGGGCGAGGCGCGGCTTCCGGGCGCCCCTGTCCTCCGCCTTTTCTCCCTGCCCGTCCGGCGACGCCCGCTTTTTGTAGGGAATCTGATAGAACGTCCACGCAGCGGAAGTGTGTGGATCTTGCTCGCGGTACAAGTCACCACCTAAAAGCAGAGAAAGCTCCAAACCTTTCGCTACTACAGAAGCAATAAGCTCAACGAACAACTTTGGACGAAGTTTATACGTAAAAAAATAAGTTCCAGCTGGTAGGCTTTTTAGATACAAATATCAAAGAATAACAGAATGGTAGAAGGGGTCCTGAGGGTAATCTAGCCCAACCCTCTACAAGGCAAGAATCTCAACTCAACCATCTATGGCAGAGGGCCATCCAACCTCTGCTTAAAAGCCTCCCATGAAAGAGGCTGCACCACTTTCTGAGGGAGGCCAGTCCAATGTCACAGAGCTCTTACCCTCAGAAAGTTCTTCCCAATGTTTAGTCAGAATCTCATTTCTTGTAACTTGAAGCCATGCGTTGAGTCCTACCCTCTTCCATGTGGCAGCCCTTGAGATTTTTGAATGGCTGTCATGCCTTGTTTCAGTCTCCTCTTGTCCAGGCCAAGCATACTCAGCTCCTTCAACTGTTCACCATAATGCTTGGTTTCTAGACCATTTATCATCTTGGCCACCCTCCTCTGCACACTTTCCAGTCAATATCCCTCTTAAATTGTGGTGCTGAGATCTGGATGCAGGACTCCAGGTGTGGACCAAGGCAGAACAGAACAGGACAGTTGCTTCCCCTGATCTGAATACTAGACTTCTGTTGATGCAGGATTGAATAGCATTGGCATTTTTTGCTGCTGCGTCACACTGTTGACTCATGTTAAGCTACTAAGACTCCTTGATCCTTTTCACACATACTACTGGTAAATCAGCCCCCCCCCCCATTTTCTGTCTGTTCATCTCCCTAAGTGCAGAACTTTAAATTTGTCCCCATTGAAATTCATTTTGTTAGTTTGGGCCCTAGTCTGGGTAGGCAGCTGCAGGAGGCGCACTCAGACATAACAGGGCCCCCACCCCATCCATTTCCTTTGTGGCGCCCTGTTTGGTGATGCTTGCGTGTCTTAGGGCTCACTCACACTTAGTTTTTGCTTGGCATTTCTGAGCACAGATCCGTGCTTTAAAGCGCCATGTCCAAGTGCTATTTTGTTTTGTTTTTTTGTCCCGACTAATCTGCTCTTTACTGGAACAAACAGAATTGGAGCAAACAGAAATTCAGCAATTTGCTTCAATTAAGCAGTAAAGAGTGGACTTTTGCAGGGAAAGCACAGGGAAGAAGAAGAAGAAGAAGGGCATACCTGTGCATAGAAACGTGGCACAAAAGGATGAGCTTTTGGTGGAGCAAGTCCTTGGGCTGGAAACTCCTTCCACCTGCCTAGGGGCAGGCCGTGAAGCATTTCTGTCTCCACGAGTTGCTCTCTGTCTGTCAGGCGAGAGGGCCTGGGGTGACTGGCCCTGTGCCAGGCTGAGTCTCTAACTGCGCTCCCTTGGGACTGGGCAGTGAGCAGGAACGGCCCTTTGGCCGTGAATGATTAACTGCCCTTGTCCCTCCACCGCTGCCAGTTCTGGTGGCTTTGGTCTCCCAGAGTGGCAGCAAGATGCTGCTTTTCCAAGTGGAATGCCCTGCATGCCCCATGGCTGGATTGGTCCCCAAGGAAAGAAGCCAGGGGGTGGAGCTGGATGTGAAGAGGCCTCTCCTTTCTGTGAAGTGCTCCTGGGGTTGGGGGGTAGTCTGCCTTGGTCCTGCCCTCAGTACCCATTCGGGATGTGGTGCCTGCTTCCAATCCCTGTGTGTTCCAGCGACAGGATTCAGCTGCGGAGAGTAGCATGCAGTGGCTTAACACAAAGTGGTTCTGCGTGAGGCTGGGCTGATGCTTCTGGATGACAGGGACAAGTGGGGTGCCACAGTGTTCTGTCCTGGGCCTGTTGATATTCAACGTCTTTATAAGTGACTGGGATGAAGGAATTGAGGGGATGCCAGCAGTACATGTGAAAGGACTGAGGGATCTTATTAGGTCACTAGTTTAACATGAGTCAGCAGGGTGATGCAGCAGCAAGCAAAGCTAATGCTATTTTAGGCTGCATCAACAGGAGTATAGTGTCCAGATCAAGGGAAGTAATAGTCCCACTCTATTCTGCCTTGGTCAGACTACACCAGGAATACTGTGTCCAATTCTGGGCACCACAGTTTAAGAAGGATGTCCAAGCTGGACCGTGTGCAGAGGAAGGCAACCAAGATGACCAAGGGTCTAGAAACAAAGCCATATGAGGAATGGTTGAAGGAGGTGGGGATGTTTAGCCTGTAAAAGAGGAAACTGAAAGGAGATATGATAGCCATCTTCCAATATCTCAAGGGTTGTGCTTTGAAAGATGGGGCAAGCTTGTTTTCTCCTACTCTGGAGGGAAGAACCCGAACCACTGGCTTCAAGTTACAAGAAAGGGGATTCTGAGAAAACACCAGGAAGAACTTTCTGACAGTAAGAGCTCTTTGACAGGGGAAGAGACTCTCTTGGAAGGTGGGGGACTCTCCATCCTTGGAGGTCTTTAAGCAGAGGCTGGATGGGTTGGACTAGATGCAGTGGTGTAGCTAGTCGCTCGGGGTGCTCGAAGCGGCACATGTGTCCTGCAGCCGGGGGCGGAGTGAGCTGCCCATGGGGATGGGGCAAGCGAAGGCAGGACGTGCTGCTTGGAGCCTCTCCGCAGCCTCCCCCTCAGCTGTAGGACGGCTGAGGTGGTGGGCAGACGCAAGCCCTGTGCTGCTTGAAAAAGTGGTGCAGAGCTTGCAGGCAGTCCGCCCGCCGCCTCCCCTTCAGGAGAGACGCGTGGCTCAGGCACTCTGCAGACCCCATGGTGTGGCACCCAGTGCCCCCACCTTACCTAGCTACCAGTGGCATAGGAAGGGGGGTGCAGTGGGGGTGGGAGTTATTTTTTTCAAAAAGTGTCATGAGCCCACTTTTAAAATTTTATTTTAAAAACACATATTTTTGCCATTTTGTCACCCCGCCCAGTGATGACACCCAGGTCGTCCCACCCCCCTTCCTACGCCACTGACTAGATGACTCTTGGGGTACCTTTGAATCCTATACAGTGGTACCTCTGGATACGAACGGGATGCATTCCGGATCCCCGTTCGCATCCTGAAGTGAATGTAACCTGTGCCTGCATGTTTGCGCGTGCACGGGTTGCGATTCGCTGCTTCTGTGCATGCGCGTGACGTCATTTTGACCATCTGCGCATGCGCGAGCAGCGAAACCTGGAAGTAACATGTTCCATTAGTTCTGGGTCGCCGCGGAGCACAACCCGAAAGCGCTCAACCTGAAGCATATTAAACCCTAGGTATGACTGTAATTCTACAATTCTGTGATTCTGACTCTTGGGTAGCACCCCATTGCACCTCAATTGTTTGCTCAAAGGTCAGCTTCTTTCTCCCATGGAGCATGAAAGCAGACCCTTAAGAACATAAGTTGAGATAGGCTCCAAGATCAGGCCAAGGGGAGGTCATGCAGCCCAGCATCCTGTTCTCACAGTGGCCAGCTGGATGCTTCTTTTGGGAGGTCTTGCATGCAGGACTCACGTAAGATTGCTGAGCCAAGGTGTTACCAAACACCAGGCATCAAAGCTGGATTTCCTAAATATCTCTGGGATCGTCCGCACTTCTGGCTTGTCTTGTGGTGTTTTTGTCACTCCTCTCATTTCTCTGGGAAAAGCTACTCTTTAGGACCAGCTTGGACCATACATCAATCCAGTGAAAACCCAAATTGTTATTTGCTCTGACTGAGCGCTTGAGAGCAGTTTCCCCCAGGGCTGTGGATGAGCCCCCTGTTCCTTCCTTCCTGTTTAAATGGTGGTAGCAAAGGTCCTTATCTCAAGGGCTGCTGTGGTGCATTTGGAAAAAGGCACGGCTCACATCTGGCAAAGACTCAGGTCTTCTGGAGGTGACCCATGTTCCCTTTCCCTCCCAGCGCTCCACCCCCTCTGATGCATTCCAAATGTTGTGCATTTTCCTGAAGAGGGTTTCATTTGCCACAAAGCTGGTGCAAATGTGAATAGTTTAACTGCATTCTGTGTGCATCTGGGAAATGCTGTGTGAGGATGGGCCGGTGGGCCAAGAGACCCAGGATTATTATTTTTCTTTGGGGGCAGGTTGCCCGATTTATTTCCTTGGTGCAAAGTGAGCCCGTCCCTGAGCTGATGGGTCAAAGAATCATAGGATTGTCATCTACTCAAACTCCCTGCAATGTGGGAATCCTAACTGCAGCATCCATGATGACAGATGGCCACCCAACCTCTGCTTAGAAACCTCCAAGGAAGGAGAGCCCACCACTTTCTGAGGTAGTTGTTCCACTGTCAAACAGCTCTTAGCATTGGAAAGTTCTTCCTGATGTTCAGTAGGAATCTCCTGTCTTGTAACTTGATTCCATTGGTTCAGGTCTTCCCCTCTGGAACAGAAGAAAACAGGTAAGGCCAGGATGCCAAGGCTGGGGAAGCACCTTCTTTTTGGCTCCCTGGCAAAGTCGCCCACAGTCCAAGCACAGGAACAAGGGCTTCTTTGTGCCATAGTGAACTGCCAGCACACACCCTTCTCTCTGCATGCTCTGAGCATTGGATCTGCCTTTTCCTCTCCCTGCTCTCTTCTGGGCATTGTAGCTGGCCAGTTAGGACCGGCCCACCATACAACAAGGTTAGGTGACTGCCTCAGGTGGCAGGATCCATAGGACCCTGTGGTCAATCTTTCTTCCCCCCTCCCTTTTCCTGATGCTGATCTTCCCTCATTGGTTCTTCCCTGGTGGGGAGGGGGACACATTTTGGGGTCTGCCCCAGGCTAGCCAAACATCCAGACATAGCCCCAGACTCTGGCTATCCTGCCTAGCAAATGCTGGTTTCTCCTCCTCTTCTCACCTTTGGCCAGCTGTGACCCAAAGACCTGCTCTGTGCATCCTCTGAAGTCCTTTGCATTTAACACTAGCCCTGCAGGGAGTTGTGGCTGTGCTGCTCTTCCCTCCCATCTCCAGCCTCAAGGATATGTTGCAAAGGGCTCATCCAGACTTCCTATTTTGCTGAGTTTCTAGGAACAGGTTCATGCTTTAAAACACTGTGTCCAGGCACTTATTTTTTATCACTTTCCCCACGAAAACCCCACTCTTTAATGCTGAATTGCAGCAAACAGCAATTCAAGCTTCCAGCAGATTGCTGTTTGCTCCGATTCATCAGTAAGGAGCTAGTTTTTGTTGGGAAATCATTGTGGTGAAAGGAAAGAAAAGTGCTCAAACGTTGACTGGGAAAGTGTGGATTTGTGCATGTAGTGCGTGGGGCAAAAGGTAAGCATGCATAGAATCATAGAATCATAGAATCATAGAATCATAGAATCATAGAGTTGGAAGAGACCACAAGGGCCATCGAGTCCAACCCCCTGCCAAGCAGGAAACACCATCAGAGCACTCCTGACATATGGTTGTCAAGCCTCTGCTTAAAGACCTCCAAAGAAGGAGACTCCACCACACTCCTTGGCAGCAAATTCCACTGTCGAACAGCTCTTACTGTCAGGAAGTTCTTCCTAATGTTGAGGTGGAATCTTCTTTCTTGTAGTTTGGATCCATTGCTCCGTGTCCGCTTCTCTGGAGCAGCAGAAAACAACCTTTCTCCCTCCTCTATGTGACATCCTTTTATATATTTGAACATGGCTATCATATCACCCCTTAACCTCCTCTTCTCCAGGCTAAACATGCCCAGCTCCCTTAGCCGTTCCTCATAAGGCATCGTTTCCAGGCCTTTGACCATTTTGGTTGCCCTCCTCTGGACACGTTCCAGTTTGTCAGTGTCCTTCTTGAACTGTGGTGCCCAGAACTGGACACAGTACTCCAGGTGAGGTCTGACCAGAGCAGAATACAGTGGCACTATTACTTCCCTTGATCTAGATGCTATACTCCTATTGACGAGACCCTCCCATGCAGAGGGAGAGGCATGAAGCATGGATGGAGCTGAGTATCCACCTTGATTTGTCACTTCCCTACAATATCCTAGAGTAGACCAGCCTTCCCCAACCTAGGACCGCAGCTCATCAGCACATGCCAGCGATGGCTGGGGCTGGTGGGAGTTGTAGTCCAAACCCCTGGAAGGCCCCTGGATGGGGAGGCTGTGAAAGAGGTTGGTCTGTGCCGCTGCCTCCAAGGGCACTCTCTGGAGTGAAAGGCAGCAGCTGCCAAGAAGGGGCATGGTCCTGAATGTGGGGAGGAGGCGGAGGCAGCCTTTCCTCCCACAGCATGGTGTCTGTGGGCTTCATCCAGCTGCAAGCCAGCAGCTGTTTCCTGAGGGGGGACATCTGTTGTCATATTCTGGGTTTGCAGCAAAGTGTGGAATAGCAGGAATGCGGCAGCAGAAGCTGTACAATGGCGACCAATGGTCAGAGGCAGCGGTGCTTCCAAATGCCAGTTGCTAGAGGCTGCAGAGGGGAGAGTTGCTCTCATGCTCAGGTCCTGCTGGCAGGTTTCCCACTGGGGCATCTGGCTGGCCGCTGTGAGAACAGGAGGCTGGACTGGATGGGTTCCCTTGGGCCTGATCCAGCAGGCTCTTCTTATGTTCTTAAGGCTTGTGGACGCCTTCCGCCTTCCTGGAAGAGGCTTATTAGCAGCACCCTGGTCGGGTTATGGCCTTCCTCCCCACCGTGACCTGAAAAGGCCCAGACAGAGCCAACTCACCCATGAGGCAAGGTGAGGCAACTGCCTTAAGCAGCAGGATCCACCATGGTAGAAGATGTCAATCTTTCTCCCTTGTTCCTGATGTAAATCTTCCCTTACCCCTTCTTGCCTGGTAGGGAGGGGGTGCTATTTTGGAGTCTGCCTCAGGTGCCAAAATCTCTGGGGCTAGCCCTGGGGTCCAGGGCATGCCTCCCTTGATGTCTGCAACACTTTGAAACCAGTGTTGAATGATGTAAATTAAATGTGTTCATGTCTGGGGAATTTATTTAAGATTTGAGGGATGGGAGGTCCTGGACACAGGGTGCAGCCATCTATGTCTGCCAGGAGGGATCTGTTGGCTGAGAGCCCACTGTGTCTCATGCCCTTTCCCCTCGGCATAGCTGCCTGATGGGTAAAGGAGCTGCCTTCTCCCCCTGCCTTGGATGCTTGTCTGGCTTTGGGCAGAGATGTCAACAGATGCCGTCTTCTCCCTCTGTTGCTGAGGGTTGCTCTGTCTCTCTCTGACTCTCCTGCCTGGCTTTGAACGTGACTTGCTGCTGGCCAACTCATCGTTATCTCATTGCAATCCATCACTCCTCCATGGATAAGAATGCAGGAAGAGCTGTGATGGATCAGGTCAACGTGGGCCTGTCTAGCCCAACATCCTGTTCTCACAGTAGCCAGCCAAATACTTCTCCTGGGAGGCCGCCAACCAGGGTCTGAGCGCAACAGCAACTCTCCACACTTGCAAATCACAGAAACTGGCAATGGGTGTAGAGCAGAGCCATTGTGCTTAGCTGGCAGCCACTTCTAGGCGCATCCTGAGTGAAGTTGGTGGACATCCCTACTTGTTTTGGGAGTGAAACCCACAATTTAACTCTGCACTGTGCTTTCTATTGCCTGGCCTGTATTCTGTGGCTTTTGGTAGAAGTGGAGCCCTCTTTTGTCCGAAGGTTCTTCTTTGATTAATAATCCCCTTCTCTGTTGGCACTGGAGATAGGTAAAGGTAAAAGGTAAAGGATCCCTGGACAGTAGACATAGTCAAACTTGACTCTGGGGTGCAACGCTCATCTCGCATTTCAGGCTGAGGGAGCCAGCCTTTGTCCACAGACAGTTTTCCGGGTCATGTGGCCAGCATGACCAAACCGCCTCTGGCGCAATGGGACACTGTGATGGAAGCCAGAGTGCATGGACATGCCATTTACCTTCCTGCCACAGCAGTATCTATTTATCTACTTGCACTGGTAGACTGGTAGACTTTCAAAGTGTTGGGCTGGCAGGAGCTGGGACAGAGCAACTGGGGCTCACCTTTGTTAAGTGGATTCGAACTGCCAACCCTCCGATCGGCAAGCCCAAGAGGCTTGGTAGTTTAGACCACAACACTACCAGTGTCCCATCCTATCCCCTACAGTGGAATGGGCTTCCTTGGGAGATTGTGGACTGTCCTTCCTTGGAGGTTTTTAAGCAGAGGTTGGATGGCCATCCGTCGGGGATGCTTTAGCTGAGATTCCTGCATTGCAGGGGGTTGGGCCCCTTGGGGTCTCTTCCAACTCAACAGTTCTGTGATTCTATGATCCTGTTTTTACCCCATGCTTTGTAGACACAAGCCCATGCTTTGAAGTGCTGTGTCTGAGTTCCAAGCGGTTTTTCTTATGTCCAGGCACTTTCCCTCCAAGAACTCATTCTTTCACACTGAATCTGGACAGATGGGTTTTCTGCAGATTGCCGCTTTCTCCAATTCAGTTGTGAAGTGGGTTCTCGCCTGCTTGGACAGGCAATTCTAAAGCCCAGACCTGTGCCAAGAAGTATGGCATAAAATGAAGTCTGCATGAGCCCTTTTAGCCACAGGGCCTTGCACTGTCCCTGTGCATGTTGAGTGTCTTGTGATGTTCTGGCGCAATGGGACACTTTGGTTGTTGCCATGGAGAGAAGCCTTAATTGCCATGCAAAGGACCACATTCTCTCTTTCTGATTGGCGGTGGAGCAGAGTGAGCCCCAAGGCCACCCCAAGGCTGCCCATGAGACTTTTGAAGGACCTGCCTGTTTCTGCGGAGGAGGATGAAAGGTGTTGGCTTTTCTTTGGCCAGAAGTTGGGTTTGACTGGAGCTGTGCCAGATACAGTGGCAATGTTTGTTGCATGCCAGGCTGGAGAATGGCAGAAAGGGGTGTGTGTGTGTGTGTGTGTGTGTGTGTGTGTGTGTGTGTGACACAAACGTTCCACCTCCAGGGAGCATATCTGCACCTTGGCTCACTTTTAAATTTTTATTATGTTTCTGTCCCACCTTCTTTCCTACAAAAAGCTCCAGGTTGTGTCCGTGGTTCTTCTCTTTCCTGTTTTATCCTCACAACTACCCTGCGAGGTAGGCAAGGCTGAGAGAAGACAAAAGTAGGTCCAAGACCAGCTGGTGAGCTTCATGGCTGAGCAGCAACTAGAAACCCTGGACTCTTAGGTCTTAGTTCAGCACTCTAACTGCTATAACACTCTGGCTCTCATTTGCTGAGGAGCGCCCAGCAGAGGAAGTACTGGGGTGCCCACTTCTGGGGTGTAGGCGCTCCCTGAACTTTGAGTGAGCCTTCCACAGCTGCATAGGAATGGAAGAAGAGCCTTGCTGCAGGATCAAGCCCAAGGGCCCCATCTAGTCTGGCATCCTGTTCTCACAGAGGCCACCCTGGTGCTCCAATGGGAAGCGAGCAAGAAAGACCAGATGGCAACAGCACTCTGCCCACCTGCAATTCCCAGCAGCTCTTACTCAGAGGCATTGTCATCATGGCTAGTAGCTGCCGATAGCCCTCCATTAATTTGCCAAGTCCTTTTGTGAAGCCGCCTACAGAAGTGAGTTCCGTAGTTTATGTTGCAGCCCAGAAACCAGCCATTGTGGGAGAGCTTCCAGGGCCTCTGGGACACAGCTGGGAATGATCCGCCTGGCTGAGGCAGGCTTGGCCAGAGCTTAAAAGAGCCGCCGCTGCCACATCCCGAGCCTTCTGCAGTCCAGGCTGGCTGTTCCTCTCCTCCTCCTCCTCCATTGCAGCTGCTTCTGGGCTCTTGAGGAGCTCCAGCTGGGAGCTGAGGAAAGAGCACAGGCATGCAGGAGGTGCAGTGTCAAGGACACACTGCCTATCTGTCTTCCCCATATGTACTTTATTCCCCAAATAAAGGAAGGTACAGCATCCGGAAAGCGCTGTGTTTTCTTTTTTGGTTCCAGTGGCCTTCGTGGAGAATGTGCTGGTCATAGAATAATAGAATCTTAGAGTTGGAAGGGACGCCAAGGCTCATCGATTCCAACCCCCTGTAAGGCAGGAAACTCAGCTAAAGCATCCAGGACAGATGGCCATCCAACCTCTGCTTAAAAACCTCCAAGGGTTTTTTGCTGCTTCATCTTATTGTTGACTTGTGCTATATCCTTTTTACCTGTACTGCTGGCAAGCCAAGTGCCCGTCATTTTATATTTGTGCAGCTGGTTACTCCTGGTTGTGTGCCTGATTGTGCTCCTGAGGGAGGGGAGAGCAGTCTGGCAGCAGTGGGAGGGCAGATGGAAATGCCTCCCTGTTTCCCTCCACACCCTGCTGCACCTCTGCTCCCAGTCACTGAGAAACAGATCCCTGTGAGGCCAGTTGCACTGTCGCAGTGGGACAGGAAAAGCCCCAGCAGGGCTGGCAGTAATGCAGTGGCGGGAGGTGTATCTGCCACGCAAGGCTTCACCTTGTCTCATGGATGGGCTGCCCCAGCTTTTTCTGGGAGGGCGTGGATTCCTGTTGCTGTTTGCTTGGGAAGGGGATCTATTTGCATGGCTCTTGAGGGCCTTGCCTGCCTCTTCACATCATGTCCTGAAACTTTCCTCTTAGAATCATAGAATCATAGAGTTGGAAGAGACCACAAGGGCCTTGGAGGTCTCTCACATCTTGGAGATGTGAGACTTCTGTTAGCCAACTGGACACAGAGTAGGGAGAGTGTGCCCTGTCCTTGCAGGCTAGGAACTTTTTCTGGCCTTTATTTGCAGAGCTGGTTTTCCCAGCTACCGGGGAACAGTAACCCAGCAGCTAAACGGGATTTCATATCCGTTTCCCCTCCCACTCCTCCTCTCAAACAAAGCTCTTACAGTCTCGGAAGGCAGAGCAGAAGCCGCCTGGTTAAGAAACAGTCATCAGTTCCAGTCTAAATTCTTGCAAAAAGGATAGGTGGTAGACCCCACCCGAAAAAAAAGTCAACATGTCTAGCTGAGTATGCCATTAAAAGTATTTGGCGTTTCTATTTTAAAAATAAAATTGAGAAGACCAGCACACATTGGCTGAAAGCAGTTTGTTTCTTTTATTCTAGATGATTCTAGAATGAGATGCCCTCCAGATCTTCTGAATTTGAATGCATTCAGATGGGTAGAACAGCTTCCAGGGGCCTAGGGTTCTGAGACCTCCAGGCCTGACCTGAAGTCTCCTGGTTTGCCTGGTGGAAGGTGGAAATAGAAAACTCCTGTGAGCTCCTTCAGGAAGACTTGATGCAACCAAGAACAGTATTACCTTTTGATGCAGCAGCTAAAAAGGCAAATGCTCTTCTAGGCTGTATCAACAGAAGTCTAGTGTCCAGGTCAAGGGAAGCAATAGTACCACTCTCTTCTGCCTTGGTCAGACCCCACCTGGAATACTGTGTCCAGTTCTGGGCGCCACAATTTAAGAGAGATATTCACAAGCTGGAATGTGTGCAGAGGAAGGTGACCAAGCTGTTCAAGGGTCTGGAGACCAACCAAACCTTATGAGGAGGGCGGTTGGGATGTTTGGCTGGAGAAGAGGAGAGATATGAGAGCCATATTCAGATATCTAAATGGTTGTCACTTCTGTTGATGCAGCCTAGAATAGCATTAGCTTTTTTGCTGCATCCTCTGAGCTGTTCATGAACAAGGTATGCCTACCCTTAAGGCAGTGGTGGGGAGCTTTTGTGGGGCTCCATCTTCAATCAGACCCATCCAGTGTGGTCAGCGGTCAAAGGTGATGGGAGTGGTAGCTCTGGCTTAGGGAGTCGATCCATTCTGTGCCTTAGTGGTTAAGTATTAACATCCTGTGCTGGCATCCTTTCCTGATTTGCTTAGGAACTGAGGTGGGGCTCTCCTGCCATTTCTAGCTCCTGAGGTTTGGGGTTCTCAAAAAGGGACCTCACATACATACCAATTTGCAACAAACACTCCATCTTGTGTTTGTTTCTGGATCCTGCCACCTGAGGCAGCCACCTCACCTTGGGACTCTCACTTCTGCCAGATCCCTGAGGGAGCCCAGCGGGCACAGAAGAAGGTCAGCAGACAAAGGGCGGTGGCTTCTCCCCCATGCCTTGCCCACTGCACTGTGCAAGGAGAAAGAGAAGCGCTTGCCTTGGGTAGTGGCCCTCTCTACAGAGAACAGGGCTTGAGAGGAGCAGCCCTGTAGCCGGATCAGGCCCAAAGGCTCATCTGTGTAGCTGGATCAGGCTCAAAGGCCCACTTCTGCCAACCGGCATCCTGTTCTCATGGTGGCTAACCAGGTTCCTCTTCTGGGAATGCCACGAGGAGGTCCTGAGCTCCACAGCAGACCTCTCTCCACTTGTGATTCCCAGCAATTCTGAGGCATTTACTGCTTTCAACAGCCATCGTGTTCGCCTTATTGCTGGAGGGAGACCACAGCCTGGAAGCACAGGGCAGCCCCTCTCCTCCCCGCAGGTGGAGACTCCTAAGAGGAGCTTGGCTCTTCTTTCCTCAAAGTGCCTCCATCCCTGCAATGGACTAGGCCACCTGCGCAAACCTGCACATTGGCAGCTGAACTGCTAGAACAAAGTGCAATGGGCTCTGTGCTTTGTTTGGGGGAGGGTGTGATGGCATCCCAGCCCCCCCTCGCCACTTATGCATGCCTGCAGCCTGCCACCCACTCCCTCCACCGTTATCCCTGGTGCAGGCTGCCAGGCACGGCCTTGGCATGGACAGAGCCCTTCGCCGGCCGCTGTGCAAGGGCTCTGTGGGTTCTGGACCGTCCTGCTGGCATTTGAGCAGCACAAAGGGCCCTTGTCTCATCCAGGGAAACAGCTGGGGGAGCTCCCTGAAGTTGCTCTTGGGCTCATGTGACTCTGGCAGGGAAGGGCAGCCCAGCCCAGCCCCTCTGTCCCAGCTTGGCCCTGGAGCTTCTCCTGGGCAGAGCTGCCTGGCTTGGGGGTCTTTGGTCCAGAGGAGGTGAGAGAGCGCACCATGGCAGGAGGACAGGCTGGCTATGGGGGTCCCTCTTAGTTCTGCAGTCGGCCAGCCTTCCCCAGGACGCCTCTTTCACACCCGTTAGCATCCTGCTCCCTTGCTGGGGCTTTGAGGGTGAGTGGAAGCAGGGAGGCAAGTGGAGGGAAGAGGGCAAAGTCCAGGTGAGCTGAAGTGCAAATGGTGGGGTGATGCTCGTGGGGGTCAATGGGTGTGTTGCTCTCCCTGGCTGTAAGATGGGACTGCTGCAGGGCTTCTTGGTGGGGGCCTGTTTTTAGGAATGAAGAGGACCCTGTGGCTGTGGGGAACTTAGCAAAGAGGGGCAACACTGTATGAATGCTTTGCCCCAAATGGAAGGGTTTGGGGCCCTGCTGCCGTCTGCGTGGGTTAGATGCCGCTGTCTGCACTGTTTGAAGAAAGGGCTGAGCAGACAGCTGCAAGGATTGTGACCTGTTGCTTGTTGTTGCTCTCAGGGCCAGCCCAGTGATTTTACCACTTGAGGCAAACCCCAAAATGGTGCCCTCTCTTCTGCGCCAGGGAAGAGGGGTGAGCGAAGATCTGTATCAGGAACAAAGGGGAACTATAAATCGACATTGGGACCCACTGCCTCTGTGGATCTTGCCACCCAAGGCAGTTGTGTCACATGGCCTCATGGGTGGGCCAGCCCTGGTTGCCTTGCTACTTCGAATCCTCAAAACCTGTCCTCAAATTACTGTTTAAAGGAAATGTTAGAAGGTTGGGGGGAGCGTTCTCTCTCTGTATAACCCTTCTAACTCTGCCTGGTGAAACAATTTTGCAGCTGGAATTTGCCCCAGCCTCATTTCTGAGGTTTGTGTGGCTCTTCACACAAGTGCTTGGGCTAAAGGGAAGGACTTATTCCTCGCACAGTGAGCCCTTTGGGGAAGCTGGCCCAGTTTGGTGTGTGTGAATTGCCTGACCAGCCCCTGTGGCAAGTGCCCAGGAGGCTGGATCCCAGCTAGGCTTTATCATGGACTGGTTGGACGAAGAGGAACGGTGCAGGGAACCAGCTGGGGAACCCCCAAGGGAGGGAGGCTCAGAGCCAGGGGATTGGTGGTGGGGTGAAAATGAGCAGTCAGAGGGAGAAACCTGGGAGGAGGAGGCCTTGGAAGCTGAAGAGGGGGCTTAGAGAGTAGGGAGTGCCTGTAGCAGAGACAAGTCCAGAAGCTGAAGCAGGAGGGAGGGAGGGAGGGAGGAGAGAGGCCAAGAAGAAGAGGTGAGTAAGACTGGTGAAGAGTCACAAGTGTTTTCTCCTCCTGCTGTGACAAGCTCCCCTCCCCCTGGTCTCCCAGAACCAGGAAAGGCATGAAGAGGGTGGAGAAGTCAGCTTCACACAGGCGCAGACACAGTCTCAGATTGCTTGGGGGAAACCCTGGAGAGGAGGGGACTTAGGCAGCTTTGGGGAGGTGGGAACCTTCAGTCTCAGCAACTGCTTCATGGAGGCAAGACCTGTTAGAGATGAGTTGCTGCGCTCATTAGGCCTGGCATTCCTGTGCAGATCTTGTTTTTGCTAGTAAAGAGTTAATTCCAACTTGCACAGTGTCATTTACTGCTGGCTCGCTCCAGGCAGGCTTGCACATTTGAATCAGCTCCCAAGTGGGAATAATTAGGCAGAAATAAGCAGTTGTACAAATATAAGATGGGGGACACCAGGCTTGCCAGTAGTACACGTGAAAAGGATCTAGGGGGTCTTTGTGGACCAAATGCTTAATGTGAGTCAAAAGTGTGATGCAGCAGCAACAGAAGCTAATGCTATTCTTGTGTCCAGATCAAGGGAATTTGCAGTACCATTCTATTCTGCCTTGGCCAGACCACACCTGGCATACTGTGTGTCCAATTCTGGGCAACACAATTTAAGAAGGATATTGACAAGCTGGAAGGTGTGCAGAGGAGGGCAACCAAAATGATCAAGGGTCAGGAAACCAAGCCTTATAAGGAACAGTTGGGTATGTTTAGCCTGAAAGAAAGAGGAGATTGAGAGGAGATATGATAGCCATCTTCAAATATCTCAGGGGTTGTCACATGGAAGATGGAACTAGCTTGTTTTCTCCTGCTCTGGAGGGTAGGACTTGAAACAATGGCTTCAAGCAAAAGAAAGGAGATTCCAACTAAACATTGGGAAGAATGTTCTGATGGCAAGAGCTGTTTGACAGTGGAATGGACTCCTTCAGGAGGTAGTGGACACTCCTTAACCGGAGGTTTTTAAGCAGAGGTTGAATGGCATCTGCCAGGGAGGATTGTGTTGAGATTCCTTTCCCTCACAATCCCTTCCAAGTCTAGGAGTCTAGGGTTTTATGACTTATTTCTTGCACTGTGAACCGTTCTGGGTAGCCCCTGGGACAAGGGTCTGGGAGTCTGTATCCCAGTTGGGCTTGCAGCTTTGAATCAGGCCCTGCCTGCCTGCACTGATGCTTACGGCCGTGTCTCTTCACAGGTAGAGGATGGCGGGAAGGCATCCTTGTCGCAGAATATGTTTCCTGGGGACGAGCTGGTGAACATCAACGGGACGCCCTTGTATGGTTCTCGGCAGGAGGCCCTCATCCTCATCAAGGGCTCCTACCGCACCCTCAAGATGATCCTCCGGAGGTGAGAGCTTCATGGGTCTCCCTTTGGCCTCACATTCTGTTGCCCTTCTCCTCTTCCTCCCTTGTTAAAGTTGAGTAGAGATTCCTGCCTTGCAGGGAGTTGGACTAGATGATCCTTGGGGGTCCCTTCTAACCGTGATTCCATTAGAAGACCTGCAGGTGCTGATGGTGCTCCTTAGGGGGGCTTGAGAAATGCGCACCCGAAAAGGCTAGTTGACAGGGATCCTTATCCGATTTGGTGCTTCTTTGTCAGATGTGGGGCTCCTTTGACCAACTTGCTGCTGCCCTCCAGTGGCAGGAATTAGGACCTGCACCTCTTATTTGCAGCCAGCCTAGCGACAGACAAACAACAGGGTGGATGACAGGGCGCCTTGTTTCTTAGGGCTCATCCAGACTTTTGTGCAGCGTTTCTAAGCTCCCTGTCCGAGTTCTTGGAGGTTTTCTGCTACAGTGCTTTCCCCCTGAAAACTCGCTGTTTGTGGCTGAATCAGAGCAAATGCAATCAGCACAAAATCCAAATTGCAATTCTGCGTTAAAGAGCAGGTTTTTTTGGGGACAGTGGAGGGGCAGAAAAAGAAAAAAGAGCTCAGCATGAACTAGGAAAATGCGGACCTGTGCCAATAAAAACATTTCTTTGACTATGAAAATAAGTGTGGCTGTGCCCTTAAAATCACACACCCCTCTCTCACACCCTCTTCTGCAACTGGAGTTCCATAGGACTGGTCCAAAACAGCCTAGATTTCATTCCCTCCATCCCCCATCAAACACCAACAATTTTTTTAGGAGTTGTAATATTTTTACATAATGATTTAAGGAATCATTAAACCCTTGGGTTTCTTTTATGGGGCCAGCCAGGGCCGGCCCACTCGTGAGGCAAGGTGAGGCAACTGCCTCAGGCGGCAGGATCCACTAGAACAGCAAATCCCAGTGTTGATCTTTCTTTCCCCTATTGTTCCTGATATAGATCTTCCTTTTCCCCATCTTCCCTCTCTCTTAACTAGTTTCAGAGGCGCATGTTTTTCTCTGTGAAAACCTATTTAACGCAGAAAGCAAGCTTACTTCATCTTTCATGTGACAGCTCTTTAGAAATTCATAATCTTGGTGGCCCTCCTCCGCACACCTGCCAATATCCTTTTTAAATTCTGGTGTCAGACCTTGACACAGTATTAGTGTGCCAAAACTGGACACAGGACCCCAGGTATGCTCTGACCAAGGGAAAATAGAGTGGTCTTATGATTTGGACACTCGACTTCTGTTGATGCAGCCTAGAAGAGCATTAACCTTTTTGGCTGCCTGCCAATATCCTTTTCAAATTGCGGCCACTGGAACTGGACACAGGACTCCCGGTGTGGTCTGACCAAGGCAGAATAGAGCAGTATATCTTCCTCCCGAGGCTGATGACCTCACTTTTCCTGCCCTCTGTCACTACTGCTTCCTGTGTGGGGTGAGTGGAGGCGAAGGCAGGACAAGGAGGCCTGCAGCTGTTTCAGCCAGAGGAGTCCTGGGATTCCCCCTGCAGCCAGGCTAGAGTGGACTGTCTCATCTTGTGGGGCACAGTGGGGGGGGGGCAGGAGAGCTCCTCACCTCTAAGACAAAAGGATCCCCTCCTCCCCACCAGGGAATAAGGGGTGGGTGAAGAGCTAGCTCAGGAACAAGGAGGGAAGAAAGATCCACATCTTCTGTCCTTGCTATCTTGCCACCTGAGGCGGCCACCTCACCTTGCCTCAAAGTTGGGCCTGCCTGCATGAGGGCCTGATGGGCGGACAGATGTTTTCTTCCCCAAGCTGACCTTTTTCCTAGATTCCCATTGCTCCACAGAGCCAGGAAGCCCTTTTGCTGTTCCTTTGCATCATCTGGGGCCTCCAACATGACCACTGCCTGCTCCACGTGCTCCCTTATCTCCCTGGACATCACTTCCTCACCACTTCCTGGCTGGAAGGGGATGGGAATGGCGTCTGGCTTGGGGAGTGCAGGAGGGGGGCGGCGGCAGGAAACGCCTGCCCAGTAAGAAGCCCCTCCCTCTTGAGTAGGGATGGCTTGCATGTCCCGGCCCCTCAGCTGCTTATTCCCCACAGCTCCCAGCAGCGTGTGGGCTGGAGTCCTGGGGCGCTCCTTTGTCCTGCCGGACACTCGCACAGGTCTCCCCACTGCCCACGAACAGGTGAGTGTTCTGTGCCTGGGGTGCATGGGGCCATCCCATTTGCCACCTCCTTCTGGCGTGCCTGGTGAGTCCCTTGTCTGGAGGAGAAAGGGTGGGATGAATCCTCTCTTCACTGTCTCCTACCCTAACTGGGGTGGGTGAAGACACCCTCGCTGCCAGGTCTGCTGTACTGCTTTGCTCTGGGGTCTGCAGGCTCCCACTGGTGAGGCAGCTCAGCTGGCAGCTCCCCACAGCATCTGCAGGTAGCGCTGGGAGAGGCTCCTACCTGAACCCCTGGAGAGCTATTGCCGCCGGTCAGTCTGGGTGGTGCTGAGCTGGATGGGGGGAGAAGGGGCTGGCCCTTCCATGAAGGCAGCTGAGGCCATGGGCTCAGGCGGCAGGATCCACGGGGGTCCTGATCTTTTTCCCTCCCACCTTGTTCCTGACGCGGATCTTCCCTGGTGTGGAGCGGGGGATACAATTTTTCTATTCGCCTCCGGTGCCAAAATGTCTTGGGCAAGCCCTGGCTCTGCCTATGGGGGCTACCTATGTTCCATTTGGGAAAGCTCCCATCCTGGCATTTTCTGGTGGCTGAACAAGGGTGAGTCACCACCACCCTGTCCCCAAAATGAGATCTCGAGGGTTTGTGTGCTGCAAACTCCAGCTCTTCCCAGGTCGGATGTGTGAAAAGGGAGGACCGGGGGGGGGGGGGGCCTGCTGCAGCTATATAAGACAAGGGTGAAAGCATGGAAGACTTCCTCCCTCTGAATGACTCCTTCCTTCCCCAACCTTCCCGCTGTGTCTTTTGGGTTTTTTAAAGGAGCTACATCACTTTAGAAGAAAGGAGATTCCAACTAAACATCAGGAGGAACTTTCTGACAGCAAGAGCTGTTTGAGAGTGGGATGGAAGGTGGGGGGGGGGGGCTCTCCTTCCTTGGAGGTTTTTAAGCAGAGCTTGGATGGACATCTGTCCGGGATGCTTTATCTGAGATTCCTGCATTGCAGGGGGTTAGACTAGATGACCCTTGGGTCCCTTCCAGCTCTACAATTCTTTGATTAAATTGGCTCTTCCAACAGACAGGAAACATCACTTAGGCATCTTTCTGAACCATCCTCTCCCTCCCACACCCATTATACTCTTGAGAAGCAGCCCTTCCAAAGTTATAGGAATCTCTCCATCCCTGACCTATAGCTCTGCAGGGGGCTACATGGGGGTGGCAGCTAGAAAGGCTCCCAGCTCCCCATCTCTGCATGGCATCCCCCTCCCCCGCCCCCATGCTGCCTGCCAGAACGAGATCTTGCTTAATTCTGGCCAATCTGCAGACACGCCTCACAGCACATTTTGTATAAATTCTGCAAAGCTGCATGTGAGTTGGCAGTGGGGGGGGGGCTGTGCCTTGAGATGGCTTTGGGTGTGGGGGAGAAGAGATGAGGGAAAGAGGAGAGAGAGAGAGAGAGAGAGAGAGAGAGAAAGAGAAAGAAGAGTATCTTAGAATCCTAGAATTGTAGAGTCAGAAGGGACCCCAGGAATCGCCAGCCAAGCCTCCGTGACACATGGCCATGTAGCCTCTGCTTAAAAACCTCCAAGGAAGGTGAGCCCCCCGCCTCGTGGGAGTCTGTTCCACTGCCAAACAACTCTTACTGTCAGAAACGTCTTCCTAAATCCAGAGCAGAAGAAAACAAGCCCTTGCAATATCTCCTCTCATATTTCCTCCCAGTCTCCTCATTTCCAGGCTAAACATACCCAGCTCCTTCAACCACTCCTTATAAGGCTTTGTTTCCAGACCCTTGATCTTCTTGGCCATTGTCCTCTGCACACCTTCCAGCTTGTCCATATCCTTCTTAAGTGGTGGAGCCCAAAACTGGACACTGGACTCTAGGTGGGGTCTGACCAAGGCAGAATAGATTGGGACTAGGACTTCCTTTGACCTGGACACTCAACTTCTGGAGATGCAGCCTGGAAGAGCCTTAGCTTTCATTGCTGCTGCATCAGTCATGTTAAGCTTCACTCATGTTCAGCTTGTGATCCACCAAGACCCCTAGATCCTTTTCACATGTACTACTGGCCGGCCAGTTGTCCCCCATCTTACATTCATGCAGCTGGTTATTCATGCTGTGTGTGTGTGTGTGTGTGTGTGTGTGTGTAGCCTGCCCGGCCTTCTGATGGCCCTTAAGGAGGCTTCCCAGTAGGAGCTTCTCCTGCGGTGGAGGAGGGGAGGTGTGCCTGCTGTTTCCTCTGGCTCATTTCCTCCCCCTTCGATCTGCTCCACAGGAGGGTTGTGCCTCTCATCAGGCCCCACTCATGGCACCTGGCCAAGCTCTCCGAAGTCCGGACTGAGGCTGACACCACCATGCACTTCCCGGCCGATGCCTTCAACCTCTCCTGGCACTCAGGCTGCGACCCCAGGTGAGTGGCTGCCTGACTAATAATAATAATAATAATAATAATAATAATTTATTTGTACCCCACCCATCTGATTGGGTTGTCTCAGCCACACTGGATGGCTTCCAGCATATATAAAAACATAGTAAAACATTAAATCTTAAAAAGCTTCCCTATACAGGGCTGTCTTCAGATGTCTCATAAAAGACATATAATTACTCATCCCCTTGATGTCTGATGGGAGGGCATTCCACAGGATGGGCTTGGGCATCTGTCTGGTTTGGCAGGACCTCTCTCCCCATGGCAGCAGGGGGCGGTGGGGGCACCCGGGGCTCTTTCTCTCAGGGGGCTGACCATGGAATTATAATATTGAAGGGTTGGAATGTGACGCGCTATCCTTTGTCCAAAGATCACAGGGCAGTTTTCAGGATAAAGTTGTTGGCCCCCAACTCCTGGTAGCCTCAGCCAGGATGGCCAGTGGTCAAGGGCGATGGGCCCTATGGCCACCTGTCATGGATGCTTGAGCTGAGATTCTTGCTTTGCAGGGGGTGGATTGGATGACCCTCAGGAGTCCATTCCAACTCTACAATTCCATGATTCCATGACTTGTAGTTCAGAAACATCTGGAAAACTAATTCCCATCATCCTCAAATAGGCGGGGGCTGGTCCTTGTCTGGGAACGGAGAGCAGGAGGAGGAGGAGGGTGTGAGTTTGACTGCTCCTTACTAGTTGCACTACCCTGCTGCCACCTCCACAACCACCCACCGCCTGCTCATGGGTTGGGCTCTGGAGTTGCTGCTGGCTGACTGGCTTCTTCCCAGACCTATCCTGGGCCCTGTGGCACAATCATCCTTGCTCGCCTGTGGGACATGGCATTTCTTCCACCCCCCCCCAATGCCTCAGATGCTTGTTTGGTTTGAGCTCATCTCCCTTCAGGAAGGGAGGTGGCTTGGGAGCCGTCCTGGCTGCTAGCAGGGAGGAGGTAATGAGTTGCAGGCCTCTTGTCTGAGTGAAGGGGGCAGGGCTGCGAACGCCCTCCAGCCTGGAGTGGGGAAGAGGGCACAAGTTGCCAAAAGGCTGGGTTTTGTCGTTTCTGAATTTTCTGACGTGCTGTCAGGGCCTGCCCAAGACATTTTGCCAAAAAACCACACCCATGCTCAGGCATGGTATTGAGGACTCCTAGACTGTTGGGGGACTTCAACATCCATACCAAAACAGTTGGCCCTGCAGTCACTTGGGACTTCATAGTTGCCATGACGACCATGGGGCTGCCCCAACATGTCATTGGGCGGGAAGAGGGTGATCTGAAAGTGGGTGTCATTGACATCCATCCCATGTCATAGTTAGATCACTTCCTTTTTGAAGTCTAGGCTTTCAGCACCTTCCCCCCTCTGCAGAGGTGGTGGACCTATGAGAAGGGTCTGCCCTCGGAAGCTGATGGATCCAATATATTTCCAGACAGCTTTGGTGAGAGAGTGGGTGGCACTGTGGTCTAAACCACTGAGCCTCTGGGGCTTGCCAATCAGAAGGCTGGCGGTTCGAATCCCCACAACGGGGTGAGCTCCTGTTGCTTGGTCCCTGCTCCTGCCAACCTAGCAGTTCAAAAGCACGTCAAAGTGCAAGTAGATAAATAAGTACCGCTCCAGCGGGAAGGTAAACGGCGGTTCCGTGTGCTCTGCTCTCCGTCATGGTGTCCCATTGTGCCAGAAGCAGTTTAGTCATGTTTGCGACATGACCCGGAAAGCTGTCTGCGGACAAACACCAGCTTCCTCGGCCTGAAAGCGAGATGAGTGCCGCAACCCCATAGTTGCCTTTGACTGGACTTAACCATCCAGGGATCCTTTACCTTCTTTACCTATTAGACAGCTCTGGGGGACTCTCTGGCTGATATGACTGACGTTCCTATCAAAGCCCTGGCTGACTTGTGGAACATCTGGATGACTTTTGGCCCATTGACACAATCACCCCTGAGCACCTTCTCAGTTTGTTTCCTCCCTGGGTGATGGCTGGAACATGAGTGGAGGAAAACTCTAGTAGACTGCAGTCGAACACTGGTGAGCGCCTACTGGCAGCGAAGGCAGCAAAGAAGACATACTCTTCTGCTTCCATTGCATCCTCATTATGGTGTCTGGCAGAGCTTTTCTGGGTAGTATGGGGCCTCTTACAGTCTGACACAAAGGAGGTGATGGATCCAATAGTAGCTCACTGTGATTTGGTTGCAAAGCATTGGATAAAACTGATTACATCTGCCAGGATCTTGACGCCACTGTTAACAGCAGATGAATCTCGAGGGGTGTCCAGAGCACAGTCTAGTCCTGTTGTGTTGGATGAGTTTCCGTTAGTAAGGCTCAAAGACATGGACAAGGTGCTAGGATCGGTCAGGGCACTCGCTTTCGCTCTGGACCCTTGCTCCTCCTGGCTGATAGAAACTAGCAGGGGAGGGACAGCTGGCTGGGCCAGGGAAGTGGTTAATACCGTCTTGCGAGAGGAGGAGGTGGTCCCTGCCCGCTTCAAGGAGGCAGTGGTGAAACCACTCAGCCAAGAAATCCTCCCTGGAGTTGAAAAAAACTAACTACTGGCTACTTTCCAGTCTCCCCTTCTTGGGCAAGGTTCTTGAGAGGGTGGTCACACACCAGATCTAGGTGCTTTTGGAGTAAACCAATTTTCTAGATTCATTTCAATAGAGGGTTTCGGTTGTGGTTTTTGTTATGTATTTTGTGTTCCCATTTTGTGATTTTATGTTGTGAACCACCCTGTGATCTTCAAGTGAATAAATTTAATAATTAAATAAATGAAGCAGTATGCAAATATTCTTAGAAATGAATAAGAAAGGTTACTGGCAACAGGCACTTTTGTCTACAACCTCCTAATGAGGGATCCCCCCCTCTCCCTGCAGTGATCTTCCCTTGCCCTGGAACCCCCTCGCTCGCCACTGCAGCACAGACAAGAGCAGCTCCCTTGGGAGCATGGAAAGCTTGGACCAGGGTGGCCAGACATACTACGAGGGCAGCCTCTCTCCCATTGACCAGACCATGTACCAGAACAAGCGGGACTCTGCCTACAGCTCCTTCTCGGCCAGCTCCAATGCCTCCGACTCTGCCCTGCGGCCCGAGGACGGCGGTGTCCCCGAAGGCCTCCCACCAGACCCCCGTTACCTGCAGACCAGTGGCGAAGCTGTGGCAGCGGTGGGCCTGCACGCCTCGCCCAGCCGGCCTGCCCCTAGTGCCAGGACAGCCCCCTGCCTTCAGGACAGTCACTTCCCCAGCTCTACCAGAGCTGTTGTGTCCACCCCTCCCCAGCCGCCAGTGAGGCAGGACAGCCTGCGAGCCTGTAACCTGCCCCCAACCAACACAGAAGGCCGTCGGAAGGACTCCCCTCACCTCAAGGCCCGCTGGACCTCGGACACGGTCCTTTCTGTGCGAGGCAGGGACCCCGAGCTGGGCAAGGAGTCACCCACAGAGCATTACTACTTGCTGAGTTCTCATGCTGACCAGCCCACCCCCATGGAGAAGGAAGCCCAGAGTGCCAACTCCCTTCCGGGTGAGCAGAGCAGTGGGGAACACCCCTTGGGCAAGCCTCACACAGGCAGCCAGGACCCCTTTGTGACCAAGCCAGGCAGCCCCGAGGGGGCCTGCCAGCCCCACTGGAAGGCCTGCTGGGCTGGAGCACTGAGCCATCGTCACAGCGCCCCAGAACACCTGCTGGCGGCTCAGCTGCGGGCTCTGCACGTCTCCTGCCCCCAGGAGGGCTCTCACTGGACTGTGTCTCCGCTGCACGTGGAGCAAAGGAGCAACCCAGGGGCCCAGCAGAGTCAGGGCTCCCCCAGAAAGGCGCAAAGCCCCCGTTCTGAAAGCAGCTGCTGCCACATGGGGCCAGAGCGACCCAGGAGTGCCTCTGTCGAACTGGCATCCTCCCCGCATCTGCAGCCCACTGGAGATGCCAGCACAGGCCTGAAGGAGGCACCCAGCATGGAGGCATCGGCCGAGGTGCGGCAGGAGGAGGAAGGGAGCATCATGGGCACCAGGAAGGGGGGCTCGTCTCAGCACCGCTCAGCCCATATGCGCCGGCGCAGCGACCGCTTTGCCACCAACTTGCGGAACGAGATCCAGTGGCGCAAAGCACAGCTGCAAAAGGCAAAGGGCTCCACTCCACTGTTGGAGGAGGGGGAGTCCAACCAGGAGGCAGGGGAGCCCCCCGGCAGCCCCCCTGTCCCTCCTTCCCTGCCCCACTCTCCTCCGCCTCCCATGCCCAAGGGCCGGCCTCCTGGCTTGACCCAGCATAGAGCGCTACTTCCCAGGCGCTGGGGCTCTGAGCTGAGTGTCTTTGCAGCAGACAGTGGTTTCCCCGGCCCCAGGAAGCCCCAGGGAGCTCTTCCACCTGGAGGAAGTCAAGGGGGCCGCTGGAGGTGGTCACCAGAGCGCAAGCTGCAGCCCCACCATCAGAGCCAGCAGGTGGCTGATTCTGGGAGCCCCTTGCCGCCCCCTGAGGACTCCGGCCTCCTGCCTTTTGCCGACCGGAGGAAGTTCTTTGAGGAGACAAGCAAGCCGCTGTCCTCTGGGGGCTTCAGCTGCCAGAACAACAGGCCAGTGGGGGTACCCCTCCCCAGGATGGTGGACCAGGACTCCTTCCAGCCAGCCAGCTCCGAGCGCAGGGACCAGCGCCGCCACTCTGTGGACCAGCCCTACAGGCTCCTGCAGCCCCCGCCACCCCACACCTACCAAGACTTCCTTCCAGAGGTGCCTGCCTTTTGCAAGCCATTGGCCCAGTGTGAGGAAGACTGTGATCACTGGCGCCCCCTTCCCTGCTCACGTGCTGCCCGGGAAGGCTGTGCTTGCTGCTATGGGGATCGGTGCCCCGCAGCTCATCACAGGAACATGCCGGCAGCATCTGGCCACTGGGCCCACCACTGCCACTCGCACGCTTGGAATCGCTGCCGCGGCTGCTGCTGCTGCCCAGCCCAGCACAAGTTCTTGGAGGAGGGGGGACCGTGGCATGCAAGGAAGACCTTTCTAGCGGTAAGAGGGTGTGGGTGTGGGTGTGGGAGGGGTCTCTTGCAGGACTGGGAGAGGCTGTGGGTCAGGTGCTGATCTTCCAAGGGTCTTGGAACTAGCCAGCCTCCCAAAAGGGCTTCCTGTGCAAGGAACAAGTCATAGAATGATTTGGAAGGGACTCTGAGGGTAATCTAGTCCAACCCTTGGGAAGGCAGGAATCTCCACTCAGGCATCCATAGCAGATGGCCTTCCAATCTCTCCTTAAAGATCTCCCAAGGGAATCTGTTCCACTGTGAAAGGGCTCTTCCTGGCAGAAAGTTCTTCCTGGAGTTTAGTTGCAATCTCCTTTCTTGTAACTTAAAGCCATAGGTTAGTGCCCTCTCCTCGAGCAGGAGAAGATAAGATATAGATACCTCCTCTTTTCCAAGCTAAACATCCCCAGCTCCTTCAAAGGCTCCTCATCAGGCTTGGTTTCCAGACCCTTGACCATCTTGGCTGCCCTTCTCTGCACATTCTCCAGCTAGTCAATATCCTTAAATTGTGGCACCCAGAACTGGACATGGGTCTCTAGGTGGTTTCCCTCCAAGGCAGAATAGAGTGGTACTTTTACCCTAACCCTAACCCTATGATTCTATATGTATGCTTTAGTTGAAATTCCTGCATTTGCAGGGGATTGGATTAGATGACCCTTGGGATCCCTTCCAACTCTATGATTTTATTATATGGACACTGTGCATGTGAAAAGGATATTGGGGTCTTAGAGGACCACAAACTTCATGTGAGTCAACAGTGTGGTGCAGCAGCAGCAGCAGCAAAAAATAAAATTAAAATAAAATAAAGGCTAATGCTAGTCTGGGCTGCATCAACAGAGGTCTCATCTCAAGGTGAAGGGCAGTCATAGGACTACTTCCTTGGTCAGCCATTCCAAGGAGAGTCTTCATCATTGCCTGGTGGATTCCAGACCTCCCCAAGGGCTGGCTCAAGACATTTTGGCACCCGAGGCAGACCCGAGATTTGGGCCTACCTCTGTTTCAGGGAAGAAGAGAGGGAAGATTGACATCAGGGGGGAAAGTGTGGGGAGAGAAAGTTTGGCTTTGGGATCTGTTGCTCCTGACGATACTGCAGTCCGAGGCAGTTGCCTCACCTTGCTTCATGGGTGGGCTGGCCCTTCGTGCCACCACCCTCAGCCTCTGTTCCTTTTTTTCCAGGACTTTTCCTTGGGTGAGTGGGAGCCTCCTACACCCAGCAGGAAGACGATGAGCCCGTCCATGAGGTAGGCAGGGGGTGCCTGGGGTGGGCAAGGAACGCTAGATGTTGGTGCCCACAGATGGGTGGGGTGGGGAAGCAGGAAAAACGGCAACGTGGCACAGCAGTTCCTGATTCACTTGATGTCCCCAGGTGTCTGTGAGGTGCTCCTGCTGGGGGCCCCTCCTCGCAAGATGCTAGGCCCTTCTCCGTCATCGGCACTCCCCCCAAACTGCATGAGGCTCTGAGGCTGGCATAGGCCCACATAGGGAACTCTTGTAGGCTGGAGCAACAGAAGAGCCATTCCTTCCCACCTCTGCTAAGTCCTGTGTGTTTGCTGCTGGGGCTGGACCCATTCCATCTTGCTCTAGGGAGAGGCGCCACTTCCTCAAGGCACCCTTGGCATTCATCACAACCAAGATCAATGAGGGCCTTTCTTTGAAGGCCCAGCACCACCCACCAGCAACCTCAGGAGGAATGGGAACTGAGCATTGAAACAACCAGAGCCAGGAATGTGGCATACGAACCAGCTGGGGCAGGGTGGAGAGGGCAAACTGGCCCAACCTTCCTTCTGACTGAAGGGGTTTGCCCCATGGCTGTAGCAACCCAGGAAGGTGGGAGAGAGCAACGCACCCTTGCTGGCCTTTTGGAAGCCCACTTCCTGTCAGAAGCTTCTTCCCGAGATGCTGAGGCAGAACTGGTGTTAACACAAGGGATGGTGTGTGTGTGTGGGGGGGGGGTTGTCTTCCCTAGTGCCATTCTGTGGTTCGCCTCAGGTGTCAGAATGCCTTGGGCTGGTCCTGTCTGCGGAGGCTGCTGCCACTCACTTCCAAGTGTCCTGATTTTCCAGGGACAGTCCTGGAATGATGGAAGCCATCCCAGTTTCTGATTTGATCTTATTTTCCCTTTTCCTTCCCTCCACATCTCGGAGAACAGTTAAAAGTGGTGTCTGTGTGTAGGGGCAAAAACAGAATCCTGTTTATCCTGAAAATAAAATTCCAGCACCAAATGAAGGAAATGGTGAATCTGTCATACGAAGCCCTTCCTGTAGTTTTGAAGGAAAATATCAACAATCCACTTCTTCAGCAGCCAGCCATTTCTCAAGAAAGGCATGGTGCATTTATTCCTTTATTGTGAAGAGAGCCTTTCCCTGTCTGCTCAGAAGTATGTCCCATTGTATTCAATGTAGGTTCAGCGGGGAGGTTGTAATTTGGCTCAAGGTGACAAATACAAACTTGTATATGACTTCTGTGGGAGATCAGACGGGGAAAAGATGCGGAACAGGATGTCCCTATTTTCGCCAGAGAAATGTTGGTGGGGTATTCTGCAGGTTGCTCTTCTTTCACTCTCCTTGCAGTGAACTCGCACAACACAAGGTGGGCTTTGCGAGGGCCAGCCCCTTCTGGACCTGCTCAGAGGCCTCCGAGGCAGAATGGCACCCTTCCTGCCACGCTGGGCCCCCTCACAGCCTCTCCTGGGACGGCAAGAGGCCTGTGCGAGCAGCAGAGAACCTGGCCTACAAAGAGGACCCTGCCACCCCTCACAGACACCCCCTGCGCGAAAGGGCCTTCTCAGAGAGCCACCTCTGTGCAGAGCAGGCCGGTGCTTCTGGGAGGGAGAGACGAGAAGCCCCTCTGGCCAAGCTGGAGGAGGGGGCCCAGCTGGAGTCTCCCCGGGCAGCCAAGCAAAAGGGCCTGCCCCCTCCACGGCCCCCGCCACCAAACTGGGAGAAATACCGCCCCGGCCGTGCCTCCCACAGCCATCTGCTTCCCCCCAAGGCTGGCCCACACCCTCACCTGGAGGAAGCCTGTGCCCACGGCCAGAGCAGCAGCGAGGTGGCAAGGCAGCGGTCTCAGAGCCTGCCTCTGGAGCAGCTGCGGGGGGAGGCCGGCCAGCAGCTCAGCCGCAGGCCTCAGGAAGCCCCCCACTCCCCCTACCACTACAACAGTTCACCACTCCGAACCCCAGAGTGGGCAGTGCCAGATGGGAGCAGCCAGAGTGGGTCATCCAGGCAAGTAGTGCATTGCTTTCTGCCTCTTGGGGCTCATAGGTTGTGGGCATGGGATGGGGGTGGTGGTCTGTACAGAGGGGCAGGGAAGTAGGGAAGGTGGTTTCAGGAGGGACTAGCTGGGCAGGAGAGAGCAGGATCAGTGCCTAGGCCTCTTCATACTGACGACTCAAAGGACAGGTGGAGGTTTCTACACAGAGGTTGGATAGCCATCTGTCCTGGATGCTTTAGCTGAGATTCCTGCCTTGCAGGGGGTTGGACTAGATGGCCCTTGAGTCTGTGCCCCCTTTTAAGCTTAGACTGAACCCCATCTAGCCTGTAGCAAGAGATTTTACAGTGAGTGGACTTGTTGGGACGGCGGCAGAAAGCAGCAAGAGGGTCAGACTGTGGTGCAGAAGAGGAGGAATCTCATGGCAAGTAACTTCATGTGGGCTAGTAGTGTGGAGTTGTTTTTCCAAAAGCAAGGATGGGGACCTGGTGGCAGGACTTGCCCAACTATGAGGTGGACTGAGACATCTGCCTCAGGTGGCAGCATCTCAAGGGGCAGCTGGAGAAGCAAGGGAATGTGGTGGGGGTCAGCTGCTGATGAGATCTTGTGAAGTTTTGCCACTGCTGCCACTTCTTCTCACATCTCTGAAGCTGCTGTGGGTGACACTCGACCTGACCGCTGCTGGAGAAGTGGTATGTGTGAGATACATGTGCGAGAAGTTGCTTCTTCTCCTCACTTCTCCCGTGGTGGGAGGGTGCCCCACCAAAGAAGCAAGAAGAGGCACCAGCTGTGTCTGTGTTCAGGTGAGATTTTGTGGACCTCTCCCCAAATCTTGCCTGAACCCAGAAGCTATGAGCAGGGGAGGGTGGGCCCAGATGTTGCCAGGCTCCAACTCTTATCATCTTGCCATCTTATCAGGAGGTCCAGTTCCACACAATATAGGGATCAGGGCTGTAGGTGCAGGAATTGGCAGGTGGATGGCTGGTGGTTAAGGGCAATAAGTTTAAAAAGAACAAAAAACTATTGTAGTATAAGGTTAATGGTAAGGAATGGAATGTGAATTAGAAATAATCTGGGAAATAATGCAGCAACAAGGAGGACCTTGGACACATCATGAACGGAGTGCAGGAAACCAATTTTCTGAAAATTTGTATTAAATTTGTTTTCATGTGGCTGATTTGGTAAAAATTTGGAAAACCAACAAAAATGACAGGGGCATATCTCCTTTGGCATTCCCTCCCCTTAAATATGAGACAGGTGCCATCCCTGAGGTCTTCCCAGCACCCGGGACTTTCCTATTCCAAAAAGCCTCTTCACTGGAATTACTTTTAAGGTGTTTTATTGCTTGCTGCCCTGTGCTCCTTCAGTAGCCTCAGCTTTTGTAGCTGGAGTCAGTCCGGGGCCTTCCCTCCCAGGCCAGGAAGAAAAAGGTAGAAAAACCACTGAGCTTGAAGCCATTTAACCTGTTTTTAACCGGCTGTCTGGTGGGTTTTGTGCTTAAAGGCCTGCATGTTCCCCGGAGGAAGCAGCAACACCCAGGCCCCTGTGGGAAAAGGGGAAGGATGGATCGGCCAGCAGGACCCCTGAGCCGGTGTCAGCCAGCCCCCCCAGCCTTGGTGAGTTCTGCTTCCCCTCTGCAGGTATCCCTGCCTCTTGTCTCTCCAGCAATGCTGCCGTCTGAAAGGGCTTCTTTCTCTCTCTCTCTCTCTCTCTCTCTCTCTCTCTCTCTCTCTCTCTCCTTCACAGCCTCCAAGGAGCTAGAGGGGGTTGAAGGAGATGCCTGCTGCCCAGGTACAGTGGGTTCAGTGCACCCCTTCCACCTGAACTCGGAAGAGCTGATGAGGGACGTGGCAGGCAGGGACCGCTCCCTGGCTGGAGTGCTCAGCCCCACCCTGGGTCTGGTGACGGCAGCGGAAATGATGGGGGGCCTCTTCTCCCCCAGTGAGGGTGCTGTGTGGCCCCCTCAGGCTGGTGCCGTGGGACTCTCAGCCAGGTAGGCATACCAGCTGCAATGGCATCCTCAAAAACTCTTGGTATGTAAGGCAGCAAGATCTGGGGGCCGGGGGGGGGGCTATGTGGGCCCTTGGCACAGAGCATCCTTCCCCTGCCAGGAGCCCTCCTGGGCCCACCAGCTCATCCAGCATAGAACCATAGAATGGTAGAGTTGGAAGGGACCACAAGGGTCATCTAGTCCAACCTAGTCCAATGAGGAATCTTTTGCTCAACGTGGGGCTCGAACCCACGTCCCTGAGATTAAGACCATCTGAGCCGTGGTCAGGAGGGGGTAATGGGAACTGAAGTCCATTAACATCTGGAGGACAACCAGGTGGGGGAAGGATGGCTCTGAGCCTTGAGGAAGGACCAGGGTGTGGGGGACCCACATTCAGACCCCTTTTTCTCAGTCTGTCCCACCTCACAGGATTGCCGTGAGGATCAGTTGTGGGAAGGGAAGAAAGTAGTGCAAACCACCATCCAAGGGTAGGACACTAATGTATAGGAAGAGCCTCAGCCTCTGGGTGGGTGTGAGCCTGGGGTCTCCCTGGAGGTGCCCCTCCTGCTGATGCCCCTCTTGGGACACCTCATTGCTGCCTGTGACTCCCACTTATCCCCCACCACAGTTGCTGTTTTATTGTAAATATATTGAGAATTCATGGAGTAGTAGGATTTGTAGAGTTTGAAGGGGCTTACAATGATACATTGCATGACAGAACAAGGGCTTAAGGGCAGCTTATTTTTTATACTGCTGTCAGCCAATAGCTGCATGACTTATAAGATGGTTCTAATTCATCACCATGACTTTGCTTGTATGCCATTCACACACAATGCTCAAAGTGATTTAACAAGAAGGGAACAGCAATTCAGCAGTAGTTCAGAAGTGGAAACGAAAAGTATACCTGTTGACTACCTGAAAATCTTTAGCCTACCCATTATAAGCATTTATTTAAGTTACAAAATAGTTAAAGAGACCAAACTCTCTCTCTTACACACATGCATGCATGGAGATGAGCAGTACTGCCAGTACTATCCAGACTTTTGTGCCGCGTTTCTAAGTACAAGTTTGCACGCTAAAGCACCATGTCTGAGCCTTTCTGCCCCGGGCTTTTCCCACAAAAGCCCCCTCTTTCCCTCTGAATTGAAGCAAATGGCAATTCACAGAAAACCCAAATGGCTGTTTGTTCTGATTTGGCATTATAGAGCAGGTTCTCATGGAAAGTGCAGGGCAAAAGGTAAGTGTGGATGAGCCCTAAGGCCTCATAACGTCTTCCAAAGCTGGAAATTATGCATTGGACAAAGGGCTACTGTTTAGAAACCCAAAGGGCTCCAAAAGCATTCTGCTGACCTCCCTCTTCTGTCTTCTTCCCCTGAAAGATGTTCAGTTTTGCAGGTTTTGATGCCCCCCACTTCAACGTGGCATATCCTGCCCTTCCAGTATTTTTCATGTGTAGTATCTTGCCATCAGTTTTCTGTATACATTGATGCATAATCTTATTTGTATGCCACCTTTCCATAGTCCAAACCACGCTCAAGGCAGCTCACATTAAGAAACACATAACTACAACATGACATAGGTAGTCATAAACAATAAATCAGGGGTCGGCAACCTAAGGCCCATGGGCCGGTAGCGGCCCACGAGGCTTGTCTAACCAGCCCATGGCGACCCCTGCTGCCGCCACCCCTTGCTGCCCGCTGTTACTGGTGCGGCGCAGCGTGGCACAGGGATTGCCTTCCAGGTCGATGGTGCCTGTGTGCAGGCACACGGGCACTCCTCCGACCTGAATATGTGCCGGAAATAGCGTGTGCGCCCGTGGGTGGGACGGAGAAGTGCCCATGTGCAGGCACACATGCTATTTCCGGTGCACTTCTGGGTCAGAGGAGCGCCGGAAATAGCGTGTGCGCACGCGCATGGGTGCTCCTCCGACCCGGAAGAGCGAGCATGCGCACACATTCTGGTCCATCCTCCGATGGATGGAGCATGCTACCACTCAGTGGATTTGTAACTGGCTGACTGACCGAACCCAAAGGGTGCTCATCAATGGTTCCTCTTCATCCTGGAGAAGAGTGACTAGTGGGGTGCCACAGGGTTCTGTCTTGGGCCCGGTCTTATTCAACATCTTTATCAACGACTTGGATGATGGACTCAAGGGCATCCTGATCAAATTTGCAGATGACACCAAACTGGGAGGGGTGGCTAACACCCCAGAGGACAGGATCACACTTCAAAACGACCTTGACAGATTAGAGAACTGGGCCAAAACAAACAAGATGAATTTTAACAGGGAGAAATGTAAAGTATTGCACTTGGGCAAAAAAATGAGAGGCACAAATACAAGGTGGGTGACACCTGGCTTGAGAGCAGTACATGTGAAAAGGATCTAGGAGTCTTGGTTGACCACAAACTTGACATGAGCCAACAGTGTGACGCGGCAGCTAAAAAGCCAATGCAATTCTGGGCTGCATCAATAGGAGTATAGCATCTAGATCAAGGGAAGTAATAGTGCCACTGTATTCTGCTCTGGTCAGACCTCACCTGGAGTACTGTGTCCAGTTCTGGGCACCACAGTTCAAGAAGGACACTGACAAACTGGAACGTGTCCAGAGGAGGGCAACCAAAATGGTCAAAGGCCTGGAAATGATGCCTTATGAGGAACGGCTAAGGGAGCTGGGCATGTTTAGCCTGGAGAAGAGGAGGTTAAGGGGTGATATGATAGCCATGTTCAAATATATAAAAGGATGTCACATAGAGGAGGGAGAAAGGTTGTTTTCTGCTGCTCCAGAGAAGCGGACATGGAGCAATGGATCCAAACTACAAGAAAGAAGATTCCACCTCAACATTAGGAAGAACTTCCTGACAGTAAGAGCTGTTCGACAGTGGAATTTGCTGCCGAGGAGTGTGGTGGAGTCTCCTTCTTTAAGGTCTTTAAGCAGAGGCTTGACAACCATATGTCAGGAGTGCTCTGATGGTGTTTCCTGCTTGGCAGGGGGTTGGACTCGATGGCCCTTGTGGTCTCTTCCAACTCTATGATTCTATGATCCTTTGATAAGGTTGCCGACCTCTGCAATAAATGAAACACCAAAAAATGGTTGTGTAATGATTGAACACCATCCACATATATCATAACAAGCTCTAAAATAAAAACACAGGAAATTAGTATCAACCACAGCAACAACACACCCCAACAAAACTCCCAAACATTACCCCAGCCCAGGAGTCTTTTCGGCAGCCTCAGCTTTTGTAGCTGGAGTCAGTCCAGACACTACCTTTCCAGGCCAGGTGGGAAAGACCTGCAAGGCAGGAGAGGTTTTCCAAGACTCACAGCCAAGATGGTCACGTGAAGGCAGACAGTGTTGCCTTGGCCTCCTCTCCATTTTGGAGCCATCCCTCCCACAATGCTCTTTGTTGGTATAGGCAACCCAGCCAACCTGTCTCCCCAACCTGTGGAGGAACTGCCAGCCCCACCTCCTCCTGCTCTGCCTACTATAACCTGTCAGCCGGCAAGGCTGAGCTACTGAACAAGATGAAGGAGTTGCCTGAGGGGGCTGGAGCCAGTTCGGAGGAGGAAGAGGTGGACCACGACTTGGCCAGGAAGAAGGTGAGCCGGTGGGAGGTGGGCTTTTCCACTTCAGTCTCCAGGCCCTGCACAGCTGCTTGGGGATTAGTGGGCAGACTTGTCTAGCTCTTTGAGTCAAACTTAGCCCCAGTGAGTGGCTCCTGTATTTTTGGGGGTGGGGTGGGGGCTGGAAAAGTCAAGTTGGGAACTTGGACCATCACTGTTCATCACTAGGACAGTGTGTGCTTGCTGCGAAACAATTGCAGTTCTGCACAAACAGAGCCCAAGCCCTGTGCTGTCCAAAGCTGAACCCTGCAAATGGATGGAATTCACTGGTATAATCTGCTTGTACCAGTTGCTACCGGCCATGATGGCTCTCTGGCACCTCCACGTCCCAGAGCAGTGTGCCTCTGAGGTGACCCCCAGTTGCTGGGAATCACAGATGGGGAGAGTGCTACTGCTAGGCTCCTGGTCTTCTTTTGGGCTTCCCCCATTTATCGGGTATTGGTTGGCCAGGATGCTGGGCTACATGGGTCCCCTTTGGCCTGATTCTGCTACAGCCAGTCTCTTCCCGTGGCACTTGTCCCCGCCTAACTCAACTGTAATCTCTCCTGCCTCCAGGTGCAGCTGATTGAGAGCATCAGTCGGAAGCTGGGGGTGCTGCAGGAGGCTCAGCGGGGCTTGCATGATGACATGAATGCCAACATGGTGCTGGGCAGAGAGGTGGAGAACCATGTCAAGGGGGTCTGCAAGCCCCATGAATACGAGAAGTTCCGCCTCTTCATCGGAGACCTGGAGAAGGTGGTCAACCTCCTGTTGTCCCTCTCAGGGCGGCTGGCAAGGGTGGAGAATGCCCTCAGCAGCCTGGACTTGGATGCCACTGCGGAAGAGGAGAAGGTACAGAGCAGGTGGGGTGGGGTGGGCGACCTCTGGAAATGCAGCTCTGAAAGGCCCCTCTCTCCCGTTTGGGAGCTCCTTGTCCCCAGATCAAGATGTTTGCTGCCTCCTCTTCATCCCCACCTCTATTTTGCCTTAGACCACATCTGGAGTCCAATTCTGGGCACCACAATCCTTATATTGACATGCTGGAACATGTGCAGAGGGTGGCAACCAAGGTGATCAAGGGTCTGGAAACGAAGCCTGATGGGGAACAGCAGAGGAAGTTGAGCATGGATAAAATGAGAGTGAGAGAGTTGAGAGGAGATATCCTGTCCCATGGAAGATGGAGCAAGCTTGTTTTCTCCTGCTCTGGAGGGCAGGACCTGATCCCATTGTAGGAAAGTAGATTCTGACTAAACACCAGGAAGACCTTTCTGATAGTATGAGATGTTAAAAACCTCCAAGGAAGGAAAGTTTACCACCTCCTGAGGGAGTCTGTTCCACTGTTGAACAGCTCTTACTGTCAGAAAGTTCTTCCAGATGTTTAGTCAGAATCTCCTTTCTTGTAACTTCTTGAAGCCAGTGTTTTGGGTCCTCCCCTCTAGAGCAGGAGGAAACAACCTCACTCCACCCTCCACGTGACAGTCCTTTAGCTATATGAAAAGTGCTATCATATCTCCTCTCAGTTTTCCAGGCTAAACATACCGAACTCCCTCAGCTGCTCCTTATAAGGCTCAGTTTCCAGACCCTGTATCATCTTGGTCGCCTTCCTCAGCACCCGGTCCGGCTTGTCAACATCCTTCTTAAATTGTGGCACCCAGAATTAGACACAGGATTCCAGGTGTGGTCTGGCCAAGGCAGGATAGAGTGGGACCATGACTTCCTTTGATCTGGACACAAGACTTCTGTTGAGGCAGCCTAGAAGAGCGTTAGCTTTTTTTGCTGCTGCACTACACTGTTGAGGGTGGGCATGTGTGCCTGGGTGTCCTGTGCCTGCTTCCTGGTCTTCCTGCTCTGGGTTTTGACAGCTCCCTCTCTTCTCCCTTCCCCAAATCAAGCTGGCCCTCCTGGAGAAGAAGCGGCAGCTGATGGCGCAGCTGGAGGATGCCAAGGAGCTGCAGGACCATGTCTCCCGTCGGGAGCGCTTGGTCTTCGCCAGTGTCTCACGCTGCCTTCCTGCTGAGCAGCTGCAGGACTACCAGCACTTTGTGCACATGAAGTCAGCACTCATCATTCAGCAGCGGCAGCTGGAGGACAAGATCAAACTGGGTGAGGAGCAGCTGCGCTGCCTGCGGGAGAGCCTGCGCAGGGGGCCCAGGGAGTACTAACCAAAGCCAGCTGGGCTTTCCTGCATCGCAGGGGCTGGGCTACATGACCCTCAGGGTCCTCTCTAACCGTACCAATTCATATTCAGCTGGTGCCTCCCTTAGGGGACTGCAGGCCAGCTTTGTGCTCACAGTGCCTTCTTGCTCTCAGGCAAGTATAATCGTTGCCAAAGATTGCTATGCCAGATCACTGCATCCCCACCCCTCCTCTTCCATGGCTGAGGTTGGAGGCTCAACCAAAGTGTGCTTTGCCGGGAAGACAATGACACCAGCTGCTCAGGAAGGTGAGGGAGGGATTCCTGGAGCTCCACCGGGATGAGGACTCCCAGGGAGGCAGCCTGAGTGCCTTGGATAACTTTCCATCTTCTCCCCTCTGGAGCCACCAACCCCCCAGCCAAGGAAGCTCCCCTAAACAGCAGCATAATCCTCTGGCGCCCACCGCTTATTTCAAGGCCTGGCTTGCCTTTCCTGCCTCCTGCTGCACAATTAATTAATTTATTCCTATCTTAGCTTTCCTTCACCGAGATAATTGTGAGGGGTGGGGGTGGGTGACTGGGATGGGCCAACACAAATCTCAGCCACATCCCTTGAGGGCGACATGTCCTGCAGCTCTCATTGGTATGCTAAGCTTAGGATGTGTTGTGGTGGCTGCAGAGGAGTCTGTACCCCTTGCCCTGCCCTCTGGAAGTGGCTTCTCTGCAAGGGTGGGGTTTTTTGTGGGAGGGAGGCCCCTACATGCTTTCCAGTTCCTTTTGTTGCCTCCTTCCTCTCCTTCCCCTCCCAGCACCTCAATCTAAAGTTTCTCTTGCCAAGTTTAAGGGCAGGAAAAAATTCCGCATCTTTCCCCATATCAAGATCTCTTGCTGGGGAGTTGCTGTTTCAAGTTGTTTTGAGCTCTGCTCATTTCCTGCACAATCGTGTGTGTGTGGGGGGGAAGCTGAGGACCTGTTTGCAGATTCTCCTCCTCCCTCTCTCTGGGTCCCTCATGGCCTGGGGAGCTGCAGCAAGCCCCTTGCACACTGCAGATTGGCTGCTGCTTCCTTGATCTGGCACCGAACCCTCCCAGCTCTACCCAGAGGCAATCGGAGGAACCAGTGAGGGTAGTGAGGGTCCTGTGTGAGTGTCTGGAGGCAGTTGGAGGATGGATGGCGGCTAACAAATTGAGGTTGAATCCTGACAAGACAGAAGTACTGTTTTGGGAGGATGGGGGGATGTGTGGGGGACTCCTTGTTCCTGTACAGGGTAACTGTGCCCCCAAATGACCAGGTGTGCAGCCCGGGAGTAATTTTGGACTGACAGCTGTCCATGGAGGTGCAGGTCAATTCTGTGTCAAGGCAGCTGTTTACCAGCTCCATCTGGTACGCAGGCTGAGACCCTCCCTGCCCGCAGACTGTCTGGCCAGAGTGGTGCATGCTCTGGTTATCTCCCGCTTGGACTACTGCAATGCGCTCTACGTGGGGCTACCTTTGAAGGTGACACGGAAACTACAACTAATCCAGAATGTGGCAGCCAGACTGGTGACTGGGAGCAGCTACTGGAGCCATATAACACTGGTCCTATGGGGTCTTCACTGGCTCCCAGTGTGTTTCCAAGCACAATTCAAAGTGTTGGTTCCACAGTGAGGGAACCTTTAAAGCCCTAAACAGCCTCAGCCATGTTTACCTGAAGGAGCGTCTCCACCCCGGACACCGGGGTCCCTCTCCCAAGGGCCTTCTGGTGCTTCCATCACTGCGAGAAGCGAAGTTACAGGGAACCAGGCAGAGGGCCTTCTTGGTAGTAGCACCCTCCCTGTGGAACGCCCTCCCATCAGATGTCAAGGAGATAAAGAACTACATAACTTTTAGAAAACATCTGAAGGCAGCCCTGTGTCAGGAAGTTTTTGATGTTTGATATTTTACTGTCTTTTAAATATTTTGTTGGGAGCTGCCCAGAGTGGCTGGGGAAACCCAGTCAGATGAGTGGCATATAAATAATGAAATTATTGCATTATTATTGAAAAGGGCTTCCCCCAATACAGCCAGCCTCTGCCCCCCCTACCACCATGTGCCCCCTGCTCCCTGCCTGTGTAAAAGGCAGAGCCGGCGCACCCATGAGGCAAGGTGAGGTGACCACCTCAGGCAGCAGGATCCACAGGAGCAGAAGATCCCAATGTTGATCTTCCTCCCCCCTTGTTCCTAATGTAGATATCTTAGCTTCCTGATAGTTGTATGTTGCTTTGAATGTATACTTTATATTTGACTTTCTTCTGTAATGTTTTCTTCTGGATTGTTTTATTTGATGTTTTAATTTAGGTTGTAAACTGCTTTGAGTCCCCCCCCCCCCAAATATATATATAAAGATATGAACGTGTTGTTGTTGTTGTTCCTGATGTAGATCTTCTCTCACCTCTTCTGCCCTGGTGGGGAGGGAGGATGCCATTTGGGGGTCTGCCTCAGGTGCCAAAATGTCTTGGGCTCAGCTCCAGCAGCAAGACATGTATCCTGAGAAGGTGCAGCCTTTATTTGCACAAGTCCTTGCTGGAGGGGTGTGTGGCTGCTGTAGCTCCTTTCTTCAGAGACCCCCGTCAGGAAGACAGTCAAGCCATCTGGGTTGGGGAATCCTAATGCAGCTGCCAGCCAGGCAGGCCTGATCTCCGTACTCTTGGGCAAAGTGCCTTCACTATATGTAGACACAAAGCGAGGGGCCACCCATGTTCTATTGGGCTCGTATCCTATTTGCCAGTCTCTTCCTGCCTCCTCTGCTGCCACATCCATGCCTTCTGCTTGCAAATCAGGCCTTTGTGAGTTGCCTGCCCCCTGAATTCTCCATCTTCATGCCCCTCAGACATCTTGTAGACTGGAGCTGGCATTTCCCAGAGAGGATCGACCCACCCATGAGGCAAAGTGAAGCCACTGCCTCAGGCAGCAGGGTCCACAGAGGCAGCAGTTCCCAATGTCAATCTCTCATTGTTCCTGATCTTCCCTCATCCTTTCTTCCCTGCCTGGGTTTGCATGCGCCATCTTGGGGTCCACCTCAGGTGCCAAAATATCTTGTTTCCCAGCAAGGAAACTCCTTTTTGGGTGAGGACTCCTATGGTCACTACTGCCTGGAGCTGGAGGAGAGTGTTACAGCCTCTTTCTCCTCCCACCCCCTCAACCCAAAACACACATTTACCAGAGGAATGTGCTGGGCTCCTGCCACAGATATTCCTGCCCCTGACGACATCCTCTTCCTCTCCATTGTGTCTGGAACAATGTTGGGATGTCTGAGCTTCACAGTTTAACCTCTTCAGTGCCTTGAGCCACTCGTTAAGAACTTGAAAACCAAAGTGGAGCCAGCAGGATCAGGCCAGCAGCCCATTTAGTCCAGCCTCCTGTTCTCACAGTGGCCAACCAGATGCTCGTGGGAAACCAGGGAGCAGAACAAGCGCACAAGAGCATCTTTCCCAGGGAAGGAATGGGAACTGGGGCAAGGGGCAATAGGTGGGTGAATTTCAACTGGCACCACTGGTTACTTCTTGCCATGGCTGCTGTAAGAGGTCTAGATTTGCTGATCCCAGATGGGGAAGAAGCTCCTCTCTGCTCACAGACAGACACATCCTAGTGAGACCTCCTCCATCCTCCCACCCTTTGCTTTGGGGCTGCACTCTTAGCCTGGCCTTTTTGGGGCAGCAGTGTGAGAAGCAAAAGCAAGTCAGAGTGGCAAAGAGCAGCTCCTCTGCTGCTGATCTGTGCGACAGACAGCCCAGGCTTCCATCCAGCAGTCCATGAAATCCTCCCCTTTTAAACCAGAGAGCATCTCTCCAGCCAGCGAGGCTGAGGGTACATGATGTAATGCAGCGGCTGTGGGGGATTTTTTAACCTCTGCTTCACACCATCTCTACACTAAACCTGCCAAGGAGATGAGGGTCTTTGCTAGGGCCAGCCCATCCATGAGACAAGGTGCCTTATGAGGAACGGCTAAGGGAGCTGGGCATGTTTAGCATGGAGAAGAGGAGGTTAAGGGGTGATGTGATAGCCATGTTCAAATATATAAAAGGATGTCACATAGAGGAGGGAGAAAGGTTGTTTTCTGCTGCTCCAGAGAAGCGGACACGGAGCAGTGGATCCAAACTACAAGAAAGAAGATTCCACCTCAACATTAGGAAGAACTTCCTGACAGTAAGAGCTGTTCGACAGTGGAATTTGCTGCCAAGGAGTGTGGTGGAGTCTCCTTCTTTGGAGGTCTTTAAGCAGAGGCTTGACAACCATATGTCAGGAGTGCTCTGATGGTGTTTCCTGCTTGGCAGGGGGTTGGACTCGATGGCCCTTGTGGTCTCTTCCAACTCTATGATTCTATAAGGTGAGGCAGCCACCTTGGGTAACAGGATCCACAGGGGCAGCAGATTTCCCTTTGTACCCAAGTATAGATCTTCCCCCACCCCTTCTTCCTTGGCAGGGAGAGGGATGCCATTTAGGATCTGCCTCAGGTGCCAAAATGTCTTGGGCTGGTCCAGGCTTTGCTTCCACCATTGGAGGCAGCAACGCTTCTGAATGCCGGTTGCTGGAAACCGCAGGAGGAGGGAAAGTGTTCTTGTGCTCAGGTCCGGCTTTTGGGAACCCCTTTTGGTTGGTCACTGTGAGAACAGGATGATAGACTAAGTGCCCACTGGCCTGATCCACCAGGATTTTCTTGCAATCTTACGTTTACATTCTTAAGACTGTTACCTGAATGGGTGTCATGCTTTCGCTGAAGCCAGGAGAGCAAGAGGGATCGATCCCTCTTGCTCTCCTGGCTTTGCTTCGCTGGAGAGGCGCTGCACAGCTTTCCCTCTCTGCGCACCGCCCCTTCAGTGACGTGGGAGGAGAAATGGAAGAGGCTCCACTTCTGCTGCTTTGCTGAAGGGGTGCTGCGCAGAGAGGGAGAGAACCTTTTTTTTCTTGTTCTCCGCCTCTAAAACTAGGTGCGTCTTATGATCGGGTGCGTCTTATAGAGCGAAAAATACAGCAGCTATCAGAAGACCCTTCCCAAGGGAAAGAGCTGTTCAGCAGTGGAACAGAGGCTGCCTCTGGAAGTGCTGGCCTCTCCATCACCAGAGGCACTTAACTGGAGGCTTCATTGCCACTGGCCTGGGACACTGGAGTCTGCATTGACGAGATAAACTTCCCAAACCAAAACAGTCACCCTTTGAAATCTCCACTTTCCTGAATTTTGTGATGCATTTCTCCAAGCCGAAAACAGATATAAAATGGGGTATGTTTATGATACAACATACAAAAATGCTTTGTGTTCATGAACATATTTGCAATAATGTGTGCATTGGCAAAATGACACATCCAATGTTACTCCAATAGCTACCTAGTTCAATGCGCAGTGACTCACACTGAGTTCTGTGGATGATGGGCAGTATACAAATTTAATAAATTACTTACTTACTTAACGGCCCACTGAAATTAATGGACATGACTAATGTAGGTCTATTAATGCCAATGGGTCTACAAGAAGCAGAATTTAATTCAATGCATCCCATAGAGTCATGGTGTGTTTTGCCTATACACCACCTTCCGATTCCTACATATCTATGTTATTTAGTACATGGTGGCAGAGGCTGGGTTTGTCTGAAGCAAAGCAAGGAAAGGTTTCTGCATCCCACCTCAATATTAAGCCAAAGGCGCACCTCAAATTTATGGGCTGATTTACAGCCGTGGATAAACAAGGCCCGTTCTGGGTTGTGTTTATTTCCACGCCTGTGTGCATTTCACTTATCCTTAAATGTTACACAGATATTGTAAAGCCTATTCCAATGGGAAGGGATTCACCATAAAGGAGACCCAGCATAGAGCGCAATTGCAGTCAATTCACCTCAGATGTTCCACGTGAACTTGGGGCGTAAAACAACTGCCCTTTCGAGCTGTAACTGAGAGACCCTCTTAAAGGCTCCAGTGTGGAAACGGCTAGCTATTTTTTAAAAGTTGGTTTTCTCACACCTCAAAAAGCAAATGTGCAGAAAAGGACTGTTAAAATTGCCAAAGGGTTGAAAGTTCCCGCGAAGTGTGTGGCTGCACTGCGCACGTGGCACTTTTCGATTGACAGCAGCCGCAGGAAAACAAGGCTGGAGAAGACTAGTCAGGGGTCAGGGAAGCAGCCTGTGAAGGGTTTGCTTGCAGGATGAGCAGATCGGGGATGAGAAGGCGCTGGCCCTTCAGGCTCTGCGGGGCTTCTTCTGCTACCAACTGGCCACTGGGCAATGCTGATTGTGGGCAATGGGAACTGGAGTCCAAGAGCTCAGCCATCTAGGTTGCTGCCTTCTGATGAGTCAGGCCAGGGCTCCATTCAGCTCCACAATGCCCACACTGACTGACAGTGGATCTCCAGGAGATCAGACTGGATTCACTCCCAGCCCTAACTGGAGATGCTGGAGGTGGAATGTGCAGGTAAAGAAAATGCTCTGCCACTGAGCTAGGCCTCCTCCACCAGAGCTTGCTGGATCAGTCCCAAGGGAGCTCATCTTGTCCAGGATCCTCTTCACACAGGTGCCAACCAGATGCCAATGGGAAGCCCACAAGTGGCACCAGAGCACAAGAGCAACTCTCCTCTCCTGTGGCTTCCAGAGACTGGCACTCAGAAGCAGTGTTGCCTCCAGCTGTGGAGGCAGAGCAGAGCCATCATGGTTTGTAGACATTGATGGCCTTATTCTCCATGAATAGGTTTACTCTTTTAAAGTCACCTGTGAGAGGGAGTTCCATAGTTTAACCATGTGCTGAGTGAAGAAGTCCTTTTATTTATTTTTATACTTCCTCTTTCTTTTATGTGTCCTAAATTTTCCAACATTCAGCTTCCTGGGATGTCCACACGTTCTGGCATTAGGAGTCGGGTGGGGATAACATTTCTTACTCCATTTTCTCCACTGCATGCAAACATTTGTAAACGTCTATCATTTCATCTCTTTCAAAACTTTTCTCTAGATGCCTCACTGCCTCATCAGTATTTTTAAATGCAGAACAATTTATAAATTCTAAAGTAAATAAATAAGATACTAGTCTAGTGGGGCAAAAGGGACGCAGGTGGCGCTGTGGGTAAAACCTCAGCGCCTAGGACTTGCCGATAGCATGGTCGGCGGTTCGAATCCCCGCGGTGGGGTGCGCTCCCGTCATTCGGTCCCAGCACCTGCCAACCTAGCAGTTCGAAAGCACCCCTAAGTGCAAGTAGATAAATAGGGACCACTTACCAGCGGGAAGGTAAACAGCGTTCCATGTGCTGTGCTGGCTCGCCAGATGCAGCTTGTCACGCTGGCCACGTGACCCACGTGTCTGTGGACAGCGCTGGCTCCCGGCCTATAGAGTGAGATGAGCGCACAACCCTAGAGTCTGTCAAGACTGGCCCGTACGGGCAGGGGTACCTTTACCTAGTGGGGCAAAGTCTTCCTGTGCTATTAGTTAACTAAATTACTTCTACATAAATGTCTCAAGGTGATATAATAAAAACAGCACAGAAAATGACAACCAATAAATGCACACCCAAGACGCATCCATGCAGCGTGGAAAGCTCACTGGAACAAAAATGTCTGCAACAGCTTCTGGAAATTGCAGGTAGTGGGTGCCTGTTGTATCTCAGCAGGGATGCTGTTCCACAGAACAGGAGCAGCCACAATATAAGCCCTGCTCCTCCACACATCAGCTGGCCTGGCTCCTCTGAAAAGTCTGCCTCTCCATCTCCGGGCCACAACTACCCTCACCCTCCCTGAGCATATAAAAATACGGCTGCAATGATGTATTTGAGGGGGGGGAATGTAAATGTTACATTCTGAACAGGAATAACTTGACATTTAATTCTGGAACATCAGAGTGAAATGTCAACATCTTCTATTACTGCCGGAAGTAATAACCCAGCAGCATCCCAGCAGCCGGCTGGCAGGAGGGTTCTAGTTTCTGAGTATGAGGAGGCAGAATTTGGCCCCCTGAAATGCAGAGATTGTGTTTGATGCTGGAAGCTGGTTCTTGTGAGCGTATTAGAGCAGGGCACCAGGCATAAATACAGGTACTTGTTTGCGTAGGAGGATCTGCAGTGAAATCACAAATGCATGATTGCTAAATAGTCACAAACAGGGGGCCCTATCATGACATATCTGCTAAACCTGTGTGGCAGGAAGGGGACAAAATGAAGCTTAACCGTCTTCCTGTTAGGGCATGTGCCCCAGCTCCTGGGCTCCTTTTTTCTCTCTGTCTTAGTGCCCAGTGTGGCAGAACTGGTTGCACTGCCCTCAATCTGCCTCTGGGGCTGCCCTCCCTCTGAAGGAGAATACCACATTGGCACTAGACGTCCCAGTGTCCCCTGTGGCTAGGAATGTCTGGCTCACCGAGCAGCAGCATAGTGCTGTTTGTGGGTGCCAGCAGGGTGCACGGGTGGGGAGCGGAGGGTCACAGAGCCTGCCACTCCACACCAGCCCTTGCCACCCAGCTTCGGAGCGAGCAACTGCAAGGGGCCAGAAGCCAGCTTCACCTGCTGAACAGCAGCCTGAAGGGGGAGAAGGTGGCGAAATTCCCTCCACCGGCAGCTGAACCCCGTTCGGGGACACCGAGGCTGAAGAGAAGCAGCTGAAGAGACCTCTCAGCAGCAGCCGCAGCCAGAGGCCGTATATTGCTCCTGCCTGCTCTCCCACTGGATCCCCTGACCTCTAGACTGCGATCCTCCTTTTCAGCTACAGGTAAAGTATGTTCAGCGCAGCAGAAGAGGAGGCAACTCGGCCACAGAGCAAACCCGCCAGCCCGTCGCGCCGCCGGTGCCTTTAAGGGACGTCGGAGCTGCAGAAATCGCCACAGGAGGTTTGCAGGTGCTGTAAGGTGAAAGCGGGGAGGGGGAGCTGCCCTTAAAAACTCCTCCGGACGAGGTCGGCACTCGCCCGTGCTGCGCTCTTCTGGACGCCCACGGCGACGCAGGTCGTAGCCGGAGCCTCTCATCTTTGCGGCGGGCTCGCACCGCGCCTTCTCGGGCTGCGCTCCTTCCTCTGCCGCGCTGCTTCTTTTCCTCCTCCCGGGAGTCTCGGGGCAGGTGAGTGTCTGACAGTGGGGCGGGGGACCTGCTTTGGAGTTCGGAGCCCCTCTTACCCCCCCCCCCACTCGCCTCTGGCTCTCCGGCCCAACTTGGCCGTCGCGGGTCCTCAAAGTGAGAAACCGCCGTGGATTCCCGAGGAGGGCGGGGTGTTTCGCGGGGTGGAGCAGCTGCTGGCCAGCCTTGAAGTCCCGGTATTTCCAGTCCCGGGCGGGACGAAGGGAAGCCCGTCTGTGGGGAGGAGGCCGCCGAGCTCGACGGACCCGGGGTCTGCCTTGGGCGGAAGGGCGACTTTGTGTGGCCAGTACGTGCTGGGGCTGAGCCCGGGCGACGAAGGCACCCGCGTGTCCCACCCCCGGCCCCCCAAAGTGCCTTTCCTGGGGCGGGGCATCCACTTTGCAATTCCCCTTCGGCGCCCATCTTTCGCTTTCCATTTATTTTTTTATTTGGGATTCGGAAGGAAGCCCGCTCTTCTGGCCGCGTTTCTCCCGGGTGAGAACGCGCTGCAGTCTACTGCGGTTGTCTGCAACTTTCTCTTTTCCTTTCCAGGCGCTCCAGCCCGGCGCCAAGTGGCTTCCGGAGAGTTCCGGGGCAGGTGAGTTCCTGCTGGCGGGGGGCGGGCGTGCGGGTGTACGCGGCGCAGGCGGCGGGTCCGGTGGGGTGGGATGGCAACTGTGCAGCGGTGAGCAGCTCCGGAAGCTTGCGCACCTTCAGATCCCCCCAGTTGGCTTCTGGCTCTCGGCCCCAGGTGGTGGGGGCTTCTGGGGACGTCTGGTCGGCTCTGGACATCAGAGTCCTCAAGGAAGGTTGAACTGAAGTGCCCGTCTGTGGGGACGGACCCGGGGTCTGCCTGGGTGGGAAAGGCGACTTTTCTGGCCAGTAGGTGCTGGGGCTGAGCCCGGGCATAGCCTCGAGGAAGGCACAGGAAGAACAGGATGCCGGCCGTGATGGTCCTCCCCCCTCCCTCCTCGGCGGCTGTGCTTTGGCTGAAAGGCTTCTAGGTCGCTTCAGGTATGAACTGCCCGCTCGTCTCACTAGGGGGCGCTCGAGGGTCGCCTTCCTCCTTTCCGCCTGCCTTACCTTGCTTGGACCGCAGCCTCGTTCTGCTCAGGGCCTGATCCTGCAGGGACTTTATGTAGAGCCAGTGCCGAATTTACGCATAAACTAAGCAAGCTATAGCTTAGGGCCCCACTCTCTTGCCCCCCCCCAAAAAAAAACTAAAGAAAAAAATGGATGTAAATTTCCAAAATATAAGATTAAAAAAAAAACCCCTACATACAGCAACAGTGTTTTATGTTGTGTAGGCTCCTATTTATGTGAAAATGGCTTTAGATACCTATTTGGTCCATAAATTACCATATAGCAGGGTCGGCAACCTAAGGCCCATGGGCCACAAGCGGTCGACATGGGTCGTTTAACCGGCCCACAACCGCCCCCGAACCGAGCCGCCCGCTTGGCGAGTCCCCGTGCGCTGTGCTAAACGGGCGCAGCACGGCTCAGGGACTCACTTCTGCGGTGCCGGAAATTGCACACATGCTCAGATGCTGAAAATCATGTCTGCGCACATGCAGACACCAGAAATCATGTCTGCGCAGGTCATGGGGCTCTTTATATGTCCAGCTGTCCTTTGTCAACAACAAATTGTGGCTATTTTTTGTGCTGAATATGTGCTATATGGTAACTTATGGACTTAATAGGTATCTAAAGCCATTTGCACATAACAAAATGTTTTTTATCAAAGTAAGTGAACTTATCTTATATTTTGGAAATGTACATCCAGTTGTTTTTTTCCTTTAAATTTTTTTTGGGGGGGCCCAAGAGAGTGGGGGCCCTATACTATAGTTTGTTTAGCTTATACATAAATCCGGCACTGGGAGAGAGTGCCACAGTTGAATTATGAGCTGGTGTATTCTTAAGATTGGATACTCAGAGTCCGTTGTGCACCAGTCATAATCCTGTAAGGTAGGCCGACATTGGTGTGGATTGCCCCCAATTATGGCTCAGAGTGGTGGCTTCTGAATTATGGGTTCAATTGTATCTCTGAATCTGTGGAACTCTCTGCTGCAAGATGGTGGTGCTTGCCACCAACCTAGATGGCTTTAAAAGGAGAACAAAGCATGTTAATGCAGGGCAGATCTAGTGAAGGCTACTGGCAGTCAGGGCTGAATAAAAACCCCATGTTCAGAGGCAGTCTACCAGGGAGGGCTTGCTGCTGGGGAGGAGAGAGCTGATGTTTACATGCCATGTTTGTGGGCTTCTGGAAGGGATCCAGCGGGCCAGCTGTGGGACTCGGAATCCTGGACTAGATGGGCCTCTGCATGTGTAACGGAGGGGAAACTTGAACGGAGAGCTTCCTGGCTCTCGGCTGTCTCTGAGAAAGTGCAGTGAGTGGCCATCTTTCTAGGCCTGGTCACGGGACGTGGTGCTTGCCCACATTTCCACAGCGTCTGGAGTCCCCATCCTTGCCTTGCAGCAGAGCAGCCACAAGTCCCCTCTTCAAGGTGTTGTGGAGAAGCAAGGCAGTGTGATGTAGTGGTTAGGCTGTTGGGCCTGGGAGACCTACCTCACAGGGCGATTGTGTGGTTAGGAATGTGAGAGGAGCCGGCCACATCCACCTGCTTGTTCTCCCTTGGAAGACGGAGGGAATATTCAGGCGTTAATGAATGTTCTGGCTGCAGCTTCTCTTGGGGCATTTATTTGCAAGCTCCAAGAACATCCCTGAGCAACTGGAAGTCCTGGCGCTTCCTAGAAAATGCTCTTCCTTTTCTGTGTGTGAAATCCACGAAGGTGTCCTTTGTAGTCATAGGGACGCCCAACAGAGTTTTACTGCAGTCCAGACAGACCAATCTATTGTAAAAAGGTTGCACACACCGCCAGGCCTCTAGATCCGCAGCCACAAATGTCTCCTTTAATGCTGACGTGACCTTTATGCCTGACCCAGCTTGTTGCACACATCTATGAAATGCTGCATGTGATGCACACCTGTGCGCTGTCAGGGATGCCTGGGTGGCTTCACAGCAAGGTGCGCAGGGTCCCTTCCTGGCTTTGCACCTGGGAAAACCAAGTTCAGTGGGCAGCTTCACCACAGAAGCTCACAGGGAGCTTGGGGGGGGTACAAAATGACATTGGGGGCCCTTCCTTGAAGGCAGCATGTTGGCTCAATATTTATCTATTTATTTATTTATGGTTTATTAGTTGCACCTATATTCTCAACGGAGCTCTGGATAGCATACATGTTTTTCCCTCCTCCCTTAATTGTCACCACAGCCCTGTGAGGTAGACTAGTCTTGGCGAGTGGCCCAGGTGCAGAGCAACGACAAAAAGATTGTTTTGGGGGAGGGTGCACACAGATATAGCATACATGTCTCTAAGTTTTGCAATTGCTAAGCGGATTCACAAGGCCAAGTGGAAGCCTCACAGGGATGTCCTGTCTCCCATTCTCCCTAAACTGTCCTCCTTTCCTTCCCTCTCCAGGATCCTCCGTGTGATGCTCCCGCCTTCCCTACAGTGCCACATACTGGAAATGCCAGATTTTGCTCCAGAGAGAACCTTTGCCTCATGTAGGAGAAGCTTCTTCTTCTTCTTCTTCTTCTTCTTCTTCTTCTTCTTCTTCTTCTTCTTCTTCTTCTGTGATACCTTGTAGCCAAGTAAGATTCTCTTCCTTAAACACGTTTTGACAGTGGAGGCCAATTCTGGATCGACACACGGGGGGGGGGGGGGGGGACAGAAGCATCATCGGTTCCATGGAGCCACAACTGGAGGCTGCAACCTGTTTTCTGTACTTCATGAACCATTTGCGAAGAAGGACGTGTGATGCATCTTCATCCCTTCCTGAAGCAAATCATGTTGCCGATTGGGTGCATATTCTGGGCTGGAGAGCCTCCTCAGCACCAAAAGCAGGAGGAGACAAGTGGCTGCTCAAAGTGTGTTCAGCAGGGAAGGGGCTCCCTGCAGTCAAGCTGCGTTCTGCCTCTCATTTCAGAGCCTCTACATCACCCAGAAAGTCTTTGGTCATTTCCAAGACCAGACACTTTCACAGTCAGTCAAAACATCTGCTATGGCGATGGTAGCATTGTTTTGTTGTTGTTGTTTTTGGAGAAAATTTGTAGGTTTTTCCACAGGATTCCTCAAAGCCCCCCCCCCAACAAGCCCCAACTTCTTCAGCTATTTGTACTTTTCACTTCTTTTCTGCACCACGATTGAACTCCCTTGCTTAGACCCCCACCCCAGAAGCAGGAGAACTTCTGGGGGGTGCTTTTAATTCATGGGGAGGGGCTTTTAGAAACCCCCCTCCCCAGTGGCTGTGTACTTTTCACTTCTTTTCTGCACCACGATTGAACTCCCTTGCTTAGACCCCCACCCCAGAAGCAGGAGAACTTCTGGGGGGTGCTTTTAATTCATGGGTAGGGGCTTTTAGAAACCCCCCTCCCCAGTGGCTGTGTACTTTTCACTTCTTTTCTGCACCACGATTGAACTCCCTTGCTTAGACCCCCACCCCAAAAGCAGGAGAACTTCTGGGGGGTGCTTTTAATTCATGGGGAGGGGCTTTTAGAAACCCCCCTCCCCAGTGGCTGTGTACTTTTCACTTCTTTTCTGCACCACGATTGAACTCCCTTGCTTAGACCCCCACCCCAAAAGCAGGAGAACTTCTGGGGGGTGCTTTTAATTCATGGGGAGGGGCCTTTCGACACCCCCCTCCCCAGTGGCTGTGTACTTTTCACTTCTTTTCTGCACCACGATTGAACTCCCTTGCTTAGACCCCCACCCCAAAAGCAGGAGAACTTCTGGGGGGTGCTTTTAATTCATGGGGAGGGGCTTTTAGAAACCCCCCTCCCCAGTGGCTGTGTACTTTTCACTTCTTTTCTGCACCACGATTGAACTCCCTTGCTTAGACCCCACCCCAGAAGCAGGAGAACTTCTGGGGGTGCTTTAATTCATGGGGAGGGGCTTTTAGAAACCCCCCTCCCCAGTGGCTGTGTACTTTTCACTTCTTTTCTGCACCACGATTGAACTCCCTTGCTTAGACACCCCCCCCCCCGGACACTGCTGTCAGGTGGGGAGAATTTGGCCACTAGCAGGAGATCATCTTAAAAATACTTTTTTGAGTTATGTATCTTTGTTTCTCAATTTAATCCTTTTACATGGTTTTGTATGTTTTGTGGTATTCTATGCATTGTGATTTGCTGTTATTTTTATTGATTGTAGATTGGTAATTCTTTATTGTGGTTGATAAGTGTGAACTGTTAAATTTTTGCTGATGTTTTAATTTTACTGTTTGCTACTAGATTCAGAAGGATTGTTGAATTTTGCTTTGTTTGCTATAAGTTGTTTATTTTAAAGTTTTTATGACTTTTATTTTAGAATATTATTACTGTTATTAACAGGAACAATTAATAGTGTTTGACATTTTATTATGTTATGTGTTGGAACCTGCCCAGATTGGCTATGCAACCCTGCCAGGTGGGTGGAATATAAAAAGTAATGATAATTATTACCACTGCTACCACTAGTATTATTTCTGGGCTGCAGAACCTCTTCAGCACCAAAAGGTGGAGGAGATGGGTTGCTGCCCAAATTGTGTATAGCGAGCATGTGTGTGTGTGATGATTTTATTTCACAGGGAATGGCTTTTAGCACCCCCACCTAAGTGGCTATGAAGGTGCTCCTGGCTGGAACATCATCAGCTCAGTGTTATCCGTTAGCAGTTGCTGTCAAGCCATGCGCTGCCTCCCCATCCCCTTGGAAGCCTCTCAAGACACAGCTGCCTATGGGGGTCAGGGAAGGGTTGTTTTAAAGAAGGCTTTGAGGGGGTTTGTTTATCTGGAATGGTGTAGACATACATACCTTTTTACCTTTTTATACATAAATAAATATATTTGATTGAAACAAAATCTCTGGCCACCAGAGCCTTTTCTTCCCAGTGGTCCTGGTCAGGACATTTCTTAGCAGAATCACATACTTCTTCAATTTAAAAGTAAAACATGGCATGGATTGTCTTCCTCCTTATTGTCTTACTGCCAGCAGGTGGAGACTGTTTTTTTAAAAAATTATTATCATTCTAGCATGCTTCATGGAACTGGCTCTTTCTAAAGGAAATGATTTTCATAGTGGTTTGCTTTTTCTTACTAGAGTTGTCCTCATATCATTTTAATTATATTCTAAAACTCCCATAGGGATGGACTGCATGTGCTTTCAGAGTTCGCAACTCTTCCCTTCTTCTCCAGAGTGACCCTAGGAGCCCATCCTCAGTGGCTGACTCACCTGCTTTCACTCTGAACCAGCACAAAAGGTGATAAGGCTTCTTAAAGTGGGCTTAAAGCTCGCTTTCCATGCTGACTGAGTGGCTCTAGGATGCTGGAGACATGGGCCCTGCTGGGGTCCACCCTGGAATTGTGGGAGAGGCGACACTCTTACCACACTCTCATCCCCATGCAATTGGGAAAGGAGATTTCAGAGTTTCTGTTCAGTTCTAGTGGAGCCTGTGTTTAGTATTTATGGGGCGGGGAGAGTAGAGATGTCCTGCTCTAATGGGGACTACTGCCCCAGTTCACTAGGCAAGCTCTGTAGGCATAGCTTATTGCACTGATCCTTGATGCTTTTGTAGTCCTAGGCTGGTAGCCCAAATAGGACCTGGTGCACCTCCAAAGAAAACTTGGAAACTAATTCATCTCCAGGAGCAAAGCAGAAGGAGTTTAGGGAAGTGGTTGAAGTCTTTCAAGTGACGAGGGAATAAGCTGAGGAAAGGTGAAGTTTAAGATGCATTATGTTTGTGCAGGATCCATTTCTCTTCTTCACTGTTTGGTAACAGCAGCATATTCTCACAATGTGCTTGGAGAAAAACGTCATTTTGAAAAGGGAACTGTGTCTGTCATCTTATTCAGGACAGAATTATAAGAATACACCACCACTAAGAAGCTTATGAAATTCTGTGAATCTGAACACATAATAGGATTTGAGATTTAAGAACTGGGGAAATCCTGGCACTGTGTAAAGAACTCTTCAAACAGCAAAGAATTTCCCAAGATTAATAGCTTTTGTATGTGCAGTTCCCACTTTCCAAACACAATGCAGTCTTGGGAAATGGTTCATTAAGCGAGTGGTCGCATAACGAGTTGACAATTTAATTATTTCCTATGGGAACATTTCTAACCACCTCCTTCATGGTTTCTTCCTCAAATGGCTGCATCCAACCAGCAAAAGGAAGACAAAGCAAAAACTGATTTTGTCCAGTCTTTCTTCACTCTTCCTCTGCCCATGATTCTGACTAAACACCAGGAAGAACTTTTTGAGGGCAAGTCTAGAGTCCAGATCAAGGGAAGTAGGAGTCCCGCTCTATTCTGCCTGGTCAGACCCCACCTGGAGTCCTGTGTCCAGTTCTGGGTGCCACAATTTAAGAAGGATGTTGACAAGCTGGAAAGTGTGCAGAGGAAGGAGACCAGGATGATTAAGGGTCTGGAAACTAAGAAGAATGATTGAGTGAGTGAGGGAGCTAGTTATGTTTAGCCTGGAAAAGAGACTGCGAGAATATATGAGAACCATCATCAGATATCTTTTTTTTTAATAAATATTTTTAATTAGATTTTCCATCCAAAAAATTTTTTTTTACAAAATTATACATATCTTAAGTGCTGTCATGTGGAAAATGGAGCAAGTTTGCTTTCCCCTGATGTGGAGGGTAGGACTCAAACCAATGGCTTCAAGTTACAAGAATGAAGAATTCAACGGAACATCCGGAATAATTTTCTGAGTGTTAAGAGCTGTTTGACAGTGGAATGTATCCTTCAGGAGGTTGTGTACTCCTTCCTTGGAAGTTTTTGAAGCATAGTTTGGATGGCTGAAGGGCCAGCGCCTTCTCATCCCCGATCTGCTCATCCTGCAAGCAAACCCTTCACAGGCTGCTTCCCTGACCCCTGACTAGTCTTCTCCAGCCTTGTTTTCCTGCGGCTGCTGTCAATCGAAAAGTGCCACGTGCGCAGTGCAGCCACACACTTCGCGGGAACTTTCAACCCTTTGGCAATTTTAACAGTCCTTTTCTGCACATTTGCTTTTTGAGGTGTGAGAAAACCAACTTTTAAAAAATAGCTAGCCGTTTCCACACTGGAGCCTTTAAGAGGGTCTCTCAGTTACAGCTCTCGAAAGGGCAGTTGTTTTACGCCCCAAGTTCACGTGGAACATCTGAGGTGAATTGACTGCAATTGCGCTCTATGCTGGGTCTCCTTTATGGTGAATCCCTTCCCATTGGAATAGGCTTTACAATATCTGTGTAACATTTAAGGATAAGTGAAATGCACACAGGCGTGGAAATAAACACAACCCAGAGCCGGGCCTTGTTTATCCACGGCTGTAAATCAGCCCATAAATTTGAGGTGCGCCTTTGGCTTAATATTGAGGTGGGATGCAGAAACCTTTCCTTGCTTTGCTTCAGACAAACCCAGCCTCTGCCACCATGTACTAAATAACATAGATATGTAGGAATCGGAAGGTGGTGTATAGGCAAAACACACCATGACTCTATGGGATGCATTGAATTAAATTCTGCTTCTTGTAGACCCATTGGCATTAATAGACCTACATTAGTCATGTCCATTAATTTCAGTGGGCCGTTAAGTAAGTAAGTAATTTATTAAATTTGTATACTGCCCATCATCCACAGAACTCAGTGTGAGTCACTGCGCATTGAACTAGGTAGCTATTGGAGTAACATTGGATGTGTCATTTTGCCAATGCACACATTATTGCAAATATGTTCATGAACACAAAAGCATTTTTGTATGTTGTATCATAAACATACCCCATTTTATATCTGTTTTCGGCTTGGAGAAATGCATCACAAAATTCAGGAAAGTGGAGATTTCAAAGGGTGACTGTTTTGGTTTGGGAAGTTTATCTCGTCAATGCAGACTCCAGTGTCCCAGGCCAGTGGCAATGAAGCCTCCAGTTAAGTGCCTCTGGTGATGGAGAGGCCAGCACTTCCAGAGGCAGCCTCTGTTCCACTGCTGAACAGCTCTTTCCCTTGGGAAGGGTCTTCTGATAGCTGCTGTATTTTTCGCTCTATAAGACGCACCCGATCATAAGACGCACCTAGTTTTAGAGGCGGAGAACAAGAAAAAAAGGTTCTCTCCTCTCTGCGCAGCACCCCTTCAGCAAAGCAGCAGAAGTGGAGCCTCTTCCATTTCTCCTCCCACGTCACTGAAGGGGCGGTGCGCAGAGAGGGAAAGCTGTGCAGCGCCTCTCCAGCGAAGCAAAGCCAGGAGAGCAAGAGGGATCGATCCCTCTTGCTCTCCTGGCTCAGCAACATGACACCCATTCAGGTAACAGTCTTAAGAATGTAAACGTAAGATTGCAAGAAAATCCTGGTGGATCAGGCCAGTGGGCACTTAGTCTATCATCCTGTTCTCACAGTGACCAACCAAAAGGGGTTCCCAAAAGCCGGACCTGAGCACAAGAACACTTTCCCTCCTCCTGCGGTTTCCAGCAACCGGCATTCAGAAGCGTTGCTGCCTCCAATGGTGGAAGCAAAGCCCGGACCAGCCCAAGACATTTTGGCACCTGAGGCAGATCCCAAAATGGCATCCCTCTCCCTGCCAAGGAAGAAGGGGTGGGGGAAGATCTATACTTGGGTACAAAGGGAAATCTGCTGCCCCTGTGGATCCTGTTACCCAAGGTGGCTGCCTCACCTTATAGAATCATAGAGTTGGAAGAGACCACAAGGGCCATCAAGTCCAACCCCCTGCCAAGCAGGAAACACCATCAGAGCACTCCTGACATATGGTTGTCAAGCCTCTGCTTAAAGACCTCCAAAGAAGGAGACTCCACCACACTCCTTGGCAGCAAATTCCACTGTCGAACAGCTCTTACTGTCAGGAAGTTCTTCCTAATGTTGAGGTGGAATCTTCTTTCTTGTAGTTTGGATCCACTGCTCCGTGTCCGCTTCTCTGGAGCAGCAGAAAACAACCTTTCTCCCTCCTCTATGTGACATCCTTTTATATATTTGAACATGGCTATCACATCACCCCTTAACCTCCTCTTCTCCAGGCTAAACATGCCCAGCTCCCTTAGCTGTTCCTCATAAGGCACCTTGTCTCATGGATGGGCTGGCCCTAGCAAAGACCCTCATCTCCTTGGCAGGTTTAGTGTAGAGATGGTGTGAAGCAGAGGTTAAAAAATCCCCCACAGCCGCTGCATTACATCATGTACCCTCAGCCTCGCTGGCTGGAGAGATGCTCTCTGGTTTAAAAGGGGAGGATTTCATGGACTGCTGGATGGAAGCCTGGGCTGTCTGTCGCACAGATCAGCAGCAGAGGAGCTGCTCTTTGCCACTCTGACTTGCTTTTGCTTCTCACACTGCTGCCCAAAAAAGGCCAGGCTAAGAGTGCAGCCCCAAAGCAAAGGGTGGGAGGATGGAGGAGGTCTCACTAGGATGTTCAAGAACACAAAAGCATTTTTGTATGTTGTATCATAAAACATACCCCATTTTATATCTGTTTTCGGCTTGGAGAAATGCATCACAAAATTCAGGAAAGTGGAGATTTCAAAGGGTGACTGTTTTGGTTTGGAAATTGTAAAGTACCGTATTTTTTGTCCCATAGGATGCTCCGTCCCCTAGGACACACCTACTTTTTGGGGGGGGAAATAAAGGGAAAAAAATTCCCCTTTATTTCCCCCCCAAAGCCAGGTCGGGGAACAGTGGGATGGTGGCACTGCGCCCCCCGCTGTCCCCCGAGCTTGTGGGGCTGGCCGATGTCTGCCCGGCGCGAGGGGCGCTCTGCTTCAGGGCAGATGATGACTTCCGGAGTCAGCGCCATCGGTAATGGCGGAATTCCTCTGACTAGGAGG